GAGTAATCAATAATACTGTAATTTTACTAATGAATGATTAACTAAATAACGTTTAATAAGCAAAATTACCCTTTACTAAAATGAAATCCTATCTCCTATTAATACATAATATTATCCCTCAAAATTGGCAAGACCCCTGGACTCGACCTTATCACCGCTGAAATGCTGTAAGCCGATGTAAACTCCGCCGTTAACGTCCTGACACCTGTCTTCGAAAACATCTGGATGGAAGAGGAACTCCCAGACGACTGGCATAAGGGGCTTCTAATTATTGTGCCGAAAAAAGGGTAAAGCAAGGGTATCAGTACCGGAAGACCCAAGAGATGCGATCTGGAGTGAGGAATTGCACACCGTTGGTGCAGAGGATGTCCAACGAGTCCACAATTTCACTTACCTCGGGAGCATCGTTTCAGAGCCTGGAGGTACCGAAGAGGACATCACTTCGCGCATTGCCAAGGCCAGAGATACCTTCGCACAACTTCGAGCCGTATGGCAGTCACGGAAATTGACCCAAGCAAGATCAAAATATTCGGGTCCAACGTCAAACCAGTTCTGCTCTATGGGCGTGAAACGTGGAAGGTCACTAAGGTTATCTCGCACCAGCTGCAGATCTTCTTCAGCCGCTGTCTTCGCCGAATTCTCCAAAATCTTCAAACGACGAACTTTTGGAACGCTGCCACGAAATACCGATCTTTCAGCAGAATAAACGCTGCAAGTGGAACTGGATCGGCCACACTCTCCGAAGGGACCCCGATCACATCCCCAAGCAGGCTCTAGATTGGAACCCCCAGGGAAAATGCAAACGTGGTCGCGCCAAAAAAACATAGCGGCGCACTGTTAAGACTTGGAGCGAGATCAAACGCGAAGCTCAAGACCGAATGCGATGGAGGACTGTTGTGGACGCCTTCTGTCCCATATAGGAGACATAGGACATTGAGTCACTAATATTATATGTATAATGTATATGTATGTTTTTTACTCTTTTACGCAACAACTACTTAACAGATTTTGTTGAAACTTTACAATATTGTCGTTTATACATCAAAATAACAAATGGCTAGTTAAAATAACATTTATTTTACCATAACTTAAAAATAAACCTTAGAAAATAAAATATTTTGTTTTATTTTTGATTACTCTGACTCCCAACTTTGATTACCCCGACCATGAAAATTTTGATGTCGCATAACTTTTTATTCCTGCTTGCTACAGATGGGCCAATATAAAAAATATGCTCGTAATAATGTCTATTTTGAAATGTTTTACCTAAACTTACTCTAAATTCAAAAATAAAAAAGGTCGGGGTAATCAACAAAATAATCCAGATCCGGAGAATGACCGTTCAATATGTTTATTAAAGGTCACAGAAGAGCATTTTCTTTGAGCATCGGCGATAGGCGATTTTGCGACTGCATCGATGCAGCATCGCAACTTCGCGACTTCGCGACTTCGGCTTATTGGAATCGCGCGTTTTAGCTGTTTTAACTGCTGTCTGCATCGAGCTTCCGAAAGGCTACTCAATCGCCGCAATTTATTGGCGTTTTTAAGTGTGCGGTATGGAATGTGTGGTCACTGCATTCAGCTTCTTTCTTCCATAAACTTTTTTGTTCTAAAATTTGATATTCGTTTGTGGCTCCGGAGTGAAATGACCTATCCGAGGGCAGCCCTGGTCTGAAGCGCACAAGATTACCGACTGCCGCAGACAAATCCCCACTAACGACCCAACACCTGTACACCATTTATTTGTGCTCGAGCTGCAATTAGAGCCTCTCAAAGCGAGCAAATATAAAGAAAACTGGCCTGACATGGTTTTTGGTAGGATACCTGCCTATATGCAGCAGTCAATAGAGGACCAATCAATTGAGATACTTTTTATGAGTTGTCAAAACAGTGCTGTTTATTGTGAAATACCCACTAGGACCTAGTGGCTAGGTGGACCGACGATCGCGGGAAGTATCTGGAAGCGGGCAACGCATGATCGGCCGTTATGGAAATCCTTGAGAGAGGCCTTTGTCCAGCAGTGGACGTCATTTGAACCCGTATCTGATGTCACTTAGCGCAATTAATGAAAATTCAGCTTCTCATAAAATTATTGTTTCATAGTGTTATTTTTAATTTTCTATAATTAAATCATGTAGATGCTGTTCTTCACTTATAAAAAACATACTCCGACCTTCACCGAAATCAAGTCTTAATTAAGCTACAAATGATATAAGTAAAGACTGTAAAAGCTATATGCTTGTGACACTAATTTAGATCATCATCATCATCATCAACAGCCCTTTACAGTCCACTGCTGGACTATGAGCCTCCTCCACTATAGTGGAGGGTTTTGCCATAATCTCCACGCTTGGCAGGCGGGTTGGAGATCGCAGTTTAAAAGATTGATGTTTTTCAGAGAGCGCTGCTGCCCATTCTCTCACTAATTTAGATAAAGGCAAAAAACTATTTGTTCAAAACAATATAGACTTTAAGTCGATGACAAAGAGCTTTTATTGCCAGAAGGAAAAGTGAATTACAGTAAAAGAAGGCTTTATTACGAATAGAAGAAACAACCGTATACTATGTTTAGTGGCTATTAAGTGAACTTACACAGTCATTGGTTTAATGGACAGTTTTACCCAGCGGCTTTTACATCGCCTCCGGTCAAGTAGGTACGGTAACGGCACGTTGAACTATACGTTTGGAATCTAATCGGTGCTAAGTATTTAGCTTTGCAAAATTTTGACAGCTCTCGGTCACCATGGTCAGCTGGAAGTAATCTCTTTATAGAGAAAATCCCAACTGGAGGCTTAGTGCGAGTTTATATCAAACGTCTTCGCTAGCGACTGTGTAAAAAAATTACAATAAATAAATGTATGACGGACGGATTAAGGCGATTAGAGTCCTCAATGACCTTGGGCGTTTGACCTTCACGCCGCGAGCAACACCCGCGTACCCCGCACCAAAAACTCCGATTTGACACCGATCAAAAATACACGGGCATAGGTAGATACAGAATAGAAGCTCTTTCTTCATACATTACTGCCTATTATTTTAAACTTAAATTGATGAACCTTGATGTCGGTGTCATTTAACTCAGGCGTAAAGGTATTTAATAAAAATAACAAAATCCATGAACATTTTGTACGGGATAAAATTTTATTTTATTTTTTGTAAATTTTCTAATGCTTTTGTCGGTTCAGTCGTTCTCGAAATTTGAACAAACCCGACTTTATTACAAGCTTTTATTTAGCTTGCAATTTATGATGTATGTAGGTAATTACATAAATGTTTGTTCGGGTGGAATCTTGCAAGCTGAATTAGTTAGACCAACTTCCTGACGACAACTAGGCTAGATGACAAAATTTCAATTATTTGTCCGCCAGACAGATAATTAGAAAATATTAGAAGCCAAAGAAAAAATTCATTTTGATCGCTAATGTCAGTTTGTAGCGAGTGACACAACCTCCCCGTCTGAAGGCCAGCGGCCGACTGCCGCCCGCACCCCGCGAAGGCCCCCTCAACAGCAAAACGTTCGGAATTTATCAAAAGTAAAATTTATGAATGAAAGTAATGTTCGATTGAAAAACGCAACGTGTCATTTAAAGATTAAAGAATTCCCAATCTATTCGTGCAAAAATCTTTTAAATTAACATAGCCGTTTTGGAGGAGTAGGGAATTTAAGTAAAAAATCGATGTCCCGTATTTATTTTTTTAATCCAAAACAAAGAGACGTAGCGAAAATTCAAACGTCACAAATGTAGTCCTTGAACTGTTGTATAACATATATTTTTTTCAACTATTTCTGTCCAGCAGTAAAAGAGGAGTAGGCTTTACAAAATGCCCATTTGGCGCGGATTGAGGACACTAATCGCCTTAAACAGCGTCCCTACCTAGCGGATACTTTCAAGAACTAAAATCTTCATAGATTTTTTAACGTTTAATGCAAACTCGTACTAAGCACACAGACACTCTACTTTCTATATTTTGTTACTATTTTATCCAAATATGTAATATCTGGGTATACCTATAAGAGCTTAAAAATAAATAAATAGTAATTGTAGACCTAAATTGGTAATAAAAGATTTTGAATTTAGATATTGAATTTCTAACATATTTGATAGTTAAAGATAGATTTGATCATCTACTATGAAGCAAAAATTAAGCATCAGAACTTGTAACTGAAAAGATAAGTCCAGCCAAAAATCTAGCGACTGAAACAAATTGCTATTTTAAGTGCGGTTAAGGCCGAGGCTCGAAGAGACGACCAAAAGGAATTTAATTGATTACGTGCACCACTGGGCTAGCGGGGCCGACGTCAAACTTGAACTGACTAATTAACAAACGATTTTAACTTGCAAAGAAATGGGAAGAATTCCTGTCATTATACATCTTTGCCGTTTTTTGGTACCGTGGATTTGAAAAGTTTTGAAGCTCTATTAATGTGACTACGAATACACTGTAGTGTCAATAGACTAAACTCATTGTGTTTTAGTTGTGAAAAATAATGGTACAGACATAATTGAAGTAGAAACTAGCAATAATTATACAAATAAAGCCGCATTTAACATTGTGAGTTTCTGAGTAGATTTACGCCCATTCTTATTTGTCCAAATCCGGATTTGAACTGTCAAATTAAATATCCACAATAGTTTTCGTTGCGTTTACACTTTAACATTTTTTAAATAATCTAATAAACAATATGAAAACGTAAAAACATCGAAAACCCCAGATATTTTGTCGAGTTGATACGGTTGCGATCCGTTTCCGGGTTGATAGTGTGCTTCGTAAACGTGCCTTTATCATGCTAGCGGACGAAAGGGGCATGTATTGCTGACATTGCATTAACTTACTTCTCGATTATTCTAATATAGTAGGTCAGGAGGTAATAATATTGTTTGCTGGTTTACTTTGATTGTGAATGGTAAGCAAATAAATAAGTTTGTGCCTTTCAATATAATTTTAATTATGTACATTAGGCCCAACTTCACCTATGGACGGTAGTTTTTTTATAAATCAAGTCATGTATTTTGCATGTGGTTGGTAGAGATAGTATACAATTATTAGACTTACTTATTTAAAACTTATCTGCACATTGAAAGGAAGCATTATTAATTTAATAGCATATAGCATTCTCCTCCTGTTAACCTTTGCGCCCAGTAGAAATTAGAGTAAGTTATTAGCAACCATTAGTGGTTTAGTGTATTGTGGTGTGTAATCTATGATCTGAAAGTTAATACAAAAACTATATGGAGGTGAAAACACATATCACCATTATTAGGGGGGGAAAGAAAAAATATAAAATAACTGTCAGTCAACTCTCACCTTTCAAGTCTTTTTAAATACTTCGGCTGGGTTGCACCATCTTACTTTAACTTAGACAAACGTCAAAAATCTGTCAAAATCTATATAAAAAGCACCGGTTATCGTCAAAGTTACGGTCAAAGTTAGGTGGTGCAACTCCACCTTAGTCTTAAGTATTCCTATTTTACAATAAATTAATCATTAATTATTCTTAAAAGTCTAACGATCTCCGATACTTTGCGTACAAGTCTCTCCAGAAAATAAGAGATTCTGTGTACCATAGAGGTACAGTTTTGATCTCTCTGTCAATGTAGAGGGCGCGTTGGTGATCTGGAGTCACTGGTGACCACTTCACTGGTAATAGCTCACTGGTTTCTGGCGTTGGATCACTGGAAAGTGACAAAAATTATACTCTATATTTATTGTATGTTGTAAGATAAACTTTGCACGCGTGAAACAGCTTTCGTGATTCATTACAAAAGACAGAAAAAGTAACTTTTTTGCTTAACCTCTTTTATTTGCGACTAACTTTTGTCTGCGGCTTCGCCCGCGTAAATTTTGGTCTACCATAAGAGATTTAGAAATAAGCATGTGATTTCATTAGTTCAGTGGTTCTAGAGATTACGTACTTCCTGCAAAATGAAGAGATATTAGAAAAAACAGGAATATAAAGTTCGCTTACCCGTATTTAGCAAAATTCGTCCATAACGTCGTCATTTTCTGGATCATATCCGTTTCAAAGAGTGTGGGTATGATTTCTTGACTAAATAAATAAAATAACTCGTCGCCATGTGTGGCGCCACTCGCGTTATGAGAGCCCACACTCCGCTTCAATATGTTCCTTCTACCCTCATAACCAAATAAGTAATGCCACACTGGTTGCTCACTCGTCTGCATTATGAGATTCGTTTCTTCTACCGGAGGGTAGTTATTAAATGGCTCCCCATATAATTTGGATATCTGTGGTAAGGTCTTTGCTGATATCTCGTTTTCACCCATGTACAGTTTTTTCACTTTTTGAGCTATATCTTTCCGTACTTCGTCAGATGGAAATTCCAAGTCTTTTGGAAACACCATTTCGTAATCGACTTTTTCTAAATAATGTGTGTTCTCCATACCAGCAAATAACAATCCTTCTTCTGTATTAGATCCTATAATCATAGGCACTTTATTGTATTTTCCATCTACTAAGATATTGTAAGGCAAATCTGTCAAAAAAGGTTCTTCTCCTTCTATAATTTTCTCAGCACACGGCGAGAATTGTATTTCTGATAACATTATTGTAGTGCCTTCTAATCTTGGCACTCTTGCTACGACCAAATCTGAATCACTACTGTTAATAAAAAACTTATGTATTTCGTGAGGATCTTTGCTATCAAGACCCATTGCTTTGGCATGCAAACTGGCCTGATGGACTTGGTCGAATTGGAAGACAAAACCTGACAGAGCAGAGCCACTTTGCGCGATAGCTTTATGGAAGAGGCCCTTGGACATTGGCGAAAGGACGTGCAAAGCGACAGAAGCTCCTCCAGCACTCTCGCCAAAAATGGTTACATTATCAGGGTCACCGCCGAACGCCCTGATGTTCCTCTGTACCCACTTCAGCGCTGCTACTTGGTCTTTCATGCCCGCGTTCCCTGGGGCTTCCTTGATGCCCAAGCACAAAAACCCTTGAACATGTAGCCTGTAGTTGAAAGTGACTAGCACAACTCCTTTACTTATTAAGTAGTCGGGACCATACACGAACCTTGATGCTGACCGTCGGAAAAATGCTCCTCCATGGATAAAGACCATAACTGGCAAAGGTTTTTCTGGTTCATTATTTGTATACAAAGGCGTGTAAACATTGAGAATCAAGCAATCTTCCTGGCCGTTCGTGTATTTTGACCCGAGAGACCACGTTTGTGTGCAGCGTATGTGGTCGTCAATCGCTTCAAATACTCCATCCCATTTAGGCTCAGGACCGGGTGCCTGAAATGTCAGTGCAATCAGGTGGTGAATATGGTGAACGTTAGTATACCTAGCTATCAACATAATTATATTTTTTGCTCAATGTCCGATCATTGAGGTAATGGACAAAGCAGAACAATGCCAGCCAATTTAGGTCAAGGTATCGAGATCGAAGAGAAGAGTAATCGAGATTATTGGCAACCTTTCAGATTTATCACATCCCTAAAATTTTATAGTAAGATTCTAGACACAACATTTTAGTGCACCTTGCTATCTAGCGTCCAAAATGCATCCATGATTGTCAGTCCTGTGGTGTACAGTTAAGCAGTTTTCACATCTGGCATTCATCTCATCTACGCAGCAAGTATCTTCTCCTTTCTGCCTTGAAGATGCTGAGATCATAATCATGCATCTTGTTTTATCTAACCTGAAATCGCTGTTGTACAGTGGCGTAGGGAATGGCGAGATAACGCGCGTGCGAGCCGTCGGGAGAGACGGAGCCGCGCAGCCAGCCGCCGCTCACGCGCACCGGCGGCGTCGGCTGCCGCACCAGCCGCGCCGCCCACAGCGCCCACAGCACCACCCACTTGCCGCGAGCGCGCATAACGGCCTCTGAAAGTGAACATCATCATCATCATTTCAGCCATAGGACGTCCACTGCTGAACAAAGGCCTCCCCCAATGCTTTCCATGTTGATCGATTGGTAGCGGCCTGCGTTCAGCGCTTCCCTGCTACCTTCATGCTGCGTTTCTCGGTACGCGGCCTCCACTCCAGAACCTTGCTGCTCCATCGGTCATCAGTTCTGCGTACTATGTGCCCTGCTTACTGCCACTTCAGCTTGCTAATCCGTCGGGGCAAAGCAAACGTCACTCAGCATTCATCATTAAGTCTCCATTGCAGAAGTAGGTATGATCGTCTCTAATCAGAGGCAAAATAAGGGTTTTGCCCTCGCTCGCTAGATGGTTTGGGGTGGCCTGACATTCCACATCACGCACTTGCCACTCGCGTGCATGCCGGCCTGTGAAAGGGAACATCAACATCATCAAATTGAGTCTCTATTGCTGAAGCACGACCCCCTCATTAATCATTAAAGGGAACAAGACTTTTGGAGAAGCTTCTTCTTCTTCTACACCAGCGGATTTACAATGTCAAGTCAGACAAAACTGTGCCAGGTTTTCTGCAGAACTCATCAACATTCATCATTGAGTCTTCATTACAGACGCACGATCCCCTCTAATCAGAGGCTAGATACAGCTAGATAAGGATAAGATAAGGATAATACAGCTAGATTATCCTCACTTAGGGTTGCCAGGTATCCGGCTTTAGCCGGACATGTTTGGCTTTTTAGGGACCTGTCCGGCCAAAATTTGTCTTGATCGGCCTGTCCGGCTTTTGTTAGGCTTTTCATGTGGCGGCCGCGCCAGTCGACAGGAAACATGCGCATATCAGGATGTTGGGCTACCAATTCGAAAATGATGTACTCACTCATGGGCTATAATACTAATTGCACCAGCCCCCAAACAGGAGTGTCCGTCTTTTTGGGTAAAATGTCCGGCCAAATTAAGCACCGAGTCCGGCTTTTGTTTTTTTGGACCTGGCAACCCTATCCTCACTTGCTAGATGGAACTATAAATAAATTAACTTATCTTGTAAATAACGATAACAATTTACTAACTTCATTAGGCTTGCCATGACGTTATAAAGAAATATTTTAAGTCACTTCGTTTGTGTGTTAATGTGAGTAAAAAATTAGTGAAGTAAAATCTGTAAAAAACAGATAGAATGTACTAAACTTGGCTGTAAGAACTTGATGCCTTCGCCGATACATATGTGAATTAAAAAATACCAAGAGCTCTACCATCTCTCGCTTACTCCTAGTAACTGAAAGAGACAGATACAGAGAAACAAAAAAAAATCGCGCAAATAATATTTGACATTGACACATTGTTTGACGTTTCTATTTGTAAATTTTGTGATATAGATGACCCACGCTGAACTGTCCCACCAAACTCAATGACAGGGGGGCGCTACCATCGTTCAACTATATGGTTTCCAACATGGCAAAAATCGGAACCAGCGATTCGGTATTGACGGTGGCGCCCCGCTGTCAATGTCATCGATAGGACAGTTCAGTATTTTGGAACTATAAGGTAGGAGCCTAAACATACCTACTAATAAAGGGGTGAAATTCAGACTAGTTTTTGATACCTAGGTCTCTATTTCTCTGTATTATTAAACTGTGTCAACAAGCACAAGAAAATCAAATGCCATTTTGTTTTGATTTCTATTGTTGTTTTATTCAGACTTAAGTTTGTTCATTCCGTAAACAAACAAGGTAATTGTTTATGGGTTTTCAACAACAAACGAATCAAAATATGTATCTAGGTAATACTTACTTGAATTCCAAATTCAATCACAAGAACTTCTCTATTACTATAACCTAAGATTCTGACACTGAAGTTATTTACTAATTAATTTTATGAGATACCACTGGTCTATTTAATTACCACAACACTCAATAGGTTTAGTATAATATACTTAGGTACTTTATCAAAAATGATTTATTTTAAAGTTTATTGTTAAAGTCACCTTTCGCAATGGAGCATTTCATAATTACTTGCTTTGCTCATATTTCGTCGGTGCTATGACAACCTTGACAGTATGTTAATATTACCGAGGTATGACTATAACCCAAAGTCCATATCGGATGATAACAGCATGTTCGACCTTGTCCGAATATTATTTTGGTTTTCCGGTCAAAAAGAACCTAAGTATGCTTACGCTCGTATACACAAACGATGCTTGTTTAAGTGAAGCAGCAAATCGAACGCACAGCGTTGATAGAGCTCTGTGATTGGATCATGTGTCACCCTGTGCGTCCACGCGCACTGTGAGACCTCATAGTAATGTTTGTGAATACGGGCGTTATTCATTTATAAATATCTGAGCATTTTAGGGAGATAAATGCATTAATTAAGTGAATAAGTGGCAGTGGCGGTCTCACATAGGGCCATTGCCTACAACAAGTATAATTATTGTGATTGAATTCTGTAATATTCTTAACTGAAATGAAAACAAAATATACACAAAGTAGCAGTGTCTTACATGAGAATCGATTCCAAGACCTGCGATCCGAGAGAAACCCCCATCTTTATACATCAAGGAAGACTGTAAAAGTTTAAAAAAGGAAGCGTACTTACGCACCATAACCATAAACAATCAACGACGTTTGGAAAAGATAACTTTTTTTTTCTAAAATACCGGAACATTTTCAACCAGTTACTAAAATAAATTCAAGTCCCAAGTGTAAGATCTGAAGCATACCAGTTAGTAATCGGTGAGATGCTTCGGAGGTCCCTGCCGGCCAAATTGCTGTAACTCACTGCCGCGAAGTTAAGTCCATAGACAACTGTTGACGGCCGCCGGTGTTGCCACAGTGTGAACATTTTACACAAAATATTGAGCGTAATAGTTACAGTTTTTTTTTATCGTAACTACCTATAAAGGTCATAAAAGTCATTATTTTTTTTAATAGGCTTTTAAAATTCACTTTTACACTTTATATTTTTTTAAATCAATAACAGTCAGTAATAGTGGTAATAGTCTGATTATCGGATACGCGGTTTCCCACTGCGGATTTCACACCACCTCATCGGCTCATAATAAGGCTTGTTCCGACGGAGACATCCCGTTTTTAGCAGGATCCCGTTTAGTAGGATACGTGTTTTAATATTAACGTTCACACGAACATACCGTTTGCAGAGTCCCGCAAAAAACCAATCCGTTAAAATTTATAATTCGAATTTGAAACACATTTTGTGTATTCACACGACAGTCCGTGGATTGCCGTGGGAACAAGCGTGAACAAGCTACAATAAGCGTAGGTTCACGAGCCTGGCAACACTGCCTGCTCAAGCATGGCCCCAGGCGATCAGTTCAGACAAAATGCACTTATAAATTCACGCGCTTCTGAGACTGCCTGCACCTCTAGCACGAAACACTTTCGACTTCGAATCGTTTGCGTATTCGGATCGCCTTCAAATGAATTAGGGTGAGTTCGACCAAACGAGTAAATATTAATCGATCGATTTATTCGTCAGTTTTGACATAGGTACATATTTCCCATACAGACTGAAACTGTCAATGTGCCAGTTATACCAGGAGTTATTCTCGGATAAAAGTTTGGTCGAATCGGACCTTAGTATGAAAACTTATACAGCGTCCCATGAACGTGGCGTAAAGTGAACTTAGTAAGTATGAGTCGGCCGTTTGGTGTAGTACCTAGTTCGAAACGGACTACTATTCCGGAGGTAGCGGGTTCGATTCCCGCACAGTACAAACATTTGTGTGCATGAACATATTTGTTTGTATTGGACTGGGTGATTTCTATGTATAATAAGTATGTATTTACAAAAAAAAAAAAAAAAAAAGTATTTAAGTATGTTTATATCCGTTGTCTAGTACCCATAGTACAAGCTTTGCTTAGTTTGGGACTAGAAGCGCAGTGTAAAATGTCTAAGAATGTTTATTATTATGAGATATGGTAACGAAACTAATTTTCAAAATCGAGATCGTTGAATTGGAAGGCTGGGTATCGAATTTTGTCGGATACGCAAACGATTCGAAGACAAAAGTACACAACATAATAATGCCTTTCCAGCACAGGAGTAGATTAAGGTATTAATAAAACAAGTTATTGCAGAGTTCGTTACAACAAATCTGGGCACGTTACAATTAGAAGCCTAACCAAACATGGGACTGTTCGCTGCAGCGACCTAATGGGCTTATTTACATTTCATTACAGGCGATGCCACAGAGCAAAAAACATTTAGACTTACCTGAGATCCAAGACGAATTCTTAGGGAAAAGATAATACACAACACACATACCTAATTTTCATCTTGCCATGTTTGAATGACATTAACCTACGATATCACTATCACTACATAATGTAGTATAATGTAGGTTTTTTTAATAGATAGAGTGACTCAAGAGGAAGGTTTATAGGTGTAAAACACTATAGGTTTATCTATAGGTATAAAATATTATAGAAGAGAAAAGCCGGGAAATTCCATTGCAAACGTGCGAAGCCGGGGCGGGCCGCTAGTTATAAATAAAGTAGGTATTTGCAAGATACTATCATTATGTGATATAAATGGTTAATTTATTATTTTAACTAAGTATCTTACGGCTATTAAAATGACCCTGTCTATCCGTTCATTGAGCAACGCGGTCAATGTTTAAAGAATCCTTCGCAAACATAAAATCCCATATTCGAGAGATTTCCTGCAATTTATATTGAGATATGGTAAAGCAAAGAGTATAATATCCGGTATCTATACCTTGATTTTTTAGAATCCAGCAGAGATGTAAACAAACACTTTCATACACAATTACACCATAATCACTTACGTGTTCATAATATCATACACATTATTTAACAAGCCCATGAAACCAACTTTATTTTCACGTTTATACAAGTTTGAAATCAATCTTTGAAACAAATTATTTTAGCAAAATACGTGGACGATGAAAATTTGTGAGATTGTCAAATTGACTTGACGTTTAAAATCATGTGTTATCTCCATATTGTCTATGACTTGTCTCTGACACATCAGTGCCGTAACCTGTGAGTCATAGACAATAATCTGTAAATTTAATCGATATTATTGTAAGTATTCACTTATTCCGATTACTGATTAATTTTAAATAAAAAATATTATACGATACTTTGTTTAGTTTTCCAGCGATAACTTCGACAATATTGGAGATAACGTAAATTTATTTTTCTACTTTTAGTGTTTACTTTTTCGGAGTCAGTTTAAGTTTTAGTCGGTTTTATTTAAACGAAATTATTTTACTTTTTTATGCAATTATGCTTACGTATTGTTCCAAATGTTTATTTTTAAGAAAATAAACAACTTCTTTCAATGAGGGTTTTCGCGATTGAAACATCCGCCAGATGGCAATACGTAGACGCGAGGTCCAAATGCTGCATGATTGGTTATTTTTGACATGACCAAAATCCACCAATCACGCAGCAAGCAACAGCAAGCAACAGAAGTTTAATAACTTTACGGAAATCATTGATTGTTTTACTGTCCAGTGTGTTTTTTGATTACATCTGTGAATACAGTTTGTTTCCTGTTCTCGAAAATTTCATAATCAGTTCACATTCAATGTTGCGACTTTGTTGCATATTTTTAGTATTTTGACGATCACCCGGCGATGATACGCAAGTACTACAACATTTCACTTCGCGATTAACGAGAGGTTTTGTCGCATCACTAGTTCACAGACTAAAAATATTTTTATGTCAGTTGGCCATATTTGATGACATTTCTGCTGATTTCTAAAAAATTAGACTGTACGTTGTTTCACACTCGACCCATTTTACAACGTAGCCGTTTGTATTTTAAAATCAATTAAAACCAAGTTTGAAGTTTAAAAATTTCGTTCGTTTCAGCCGAATGACGTCCACTGCTGGACAAAGGCCTCGCCCAAGGATTTCCACAAAGACCGGTCCTGCGTCGCTCGCATCCAGGGCAGGCACCTCCTGCGACCTTCACCAGATCGTCGCTCCACCTAGTGGGAGGCCTGCCCACACTACGTCTTCCGACTCGTGGTCGCCACTCAAGAACTTTTCTGCCCCAGCGGCCACCAGCTCTGCAAGCTATGTGCCCCGCCCACAGCCCACTGCCACCTACTGCCACTTGATTTTAGCGATTCCGTGTGCTATGCTATGTCAGTCACTTTAGTTCTCCTGCGGATCTCCTGATTTAAACTTTAGTGGTCACTAAGTATTGGATAGCCGAAGCTTTTAACAGTAATTTTAAAATACCCACTTCTAAATTAAGCTTCAAATCTCAACATCTTGTAAGTAGTAAATAAAAATAATACACTAAGTATTTCAAATATTTTTTATTCCTTTTAATTCATTCCCAAAGTATAAAGTGTAATTGTACCTACAAAGACAATGCTTCTACAAAAGCATATTAACTACCTAAAATAATAATTTAAATTGGACTAGAGCTTCATCACCATACATAAAGTTTTTGGTTTAAATAACGAAATATTTTTTTTTCAAGTCTTGATTAATAAATCTGATGTTAAAAAAATACAGACACTATGCTATGGCATGTTCATTGTTTTTTCTACATACATATTTTGCGATAAAAGTTAAGCACTTTCAATTCATTTCAAAGATTGTTATTACGCACGCCACAGACAAAACCGCATTGTAGAAAATAGGCACTAAGAGATAGTTTTCATGTTATTTATTGAACTATCAAGAATGCCTTCTACCACAGCAATTGTTTGTACTATTCCTTCTGTACTGCTGAAACCCATACTCTTTCCTCCTAAACTGACTGTATATGTCGTTCCACAGCCGCATGGTTTGTTCGTGCCACATAGGAGCGGTGGAGAACTCGTGGTCGATGACCAATGCGCGCGGGATCGACTCCCGGCTGGGGCGCCACTTTATCGGGAGCAGCCGGGATGTCCGTGGCGTGGGATTACTGAAAAATAAAGAAGTATTAGCAAAAAAATAAATAATAATTATAGAGTAGAAAATTATTAGCCCGTTTATTGTCCCGAAGCAGTGGTAGGGTTAATACTGGGCCGTGTAGAAGTGCTTCTTTAAAAGCCTACTTGCAAAAATAAAATTAGTTTTATGAGTTTTTTATTCACAACACAAAGGCTGCATGGCTACTTCCAATTTTTTAAAAGAAAGTAATTGTATCGTAGAAATTACTAATAGTCCCGTAACCCTTCGTGGTAAGGTAAGGCTGAGTTGCACCACCATATTTTAACCGTAATAATAACAATAACCGGTGCTTTTTGACGATGCTGTTTGACAGATTTTTGAAGATTGTCAAAGTTAAAGTAAGATGGTACAACTCGGCCTAAATTATGCTTGTACCTACTACGAGTGGGATATCGTATCTCGTGAAAGGCCACGCCTAGGCGTAGTGCACGTCGATCCATTAAGATCATTTGTGCTTCCCTTTACGAGAGGGTTCACCACATAGTCCAGAGGCGGCGTGATTCGAACCCGCGATCCTCGGATCTCGAGTCGCCAATCCGACCATTTCACCCATGGAGCCGCTGCTGCACTTGCTAACGACAGTTGCAGTTGGCAACACGGTTCGAATAGCATCTTTCATCATCATCATCATCATAGGACGGACGGGCATCTCAGCGATAGGACGTCCACTGCTGAACATAGGCCACCCCCAATGCTTTCTCTGTTGCCCGGTTGGTAGCGACCTGCGTCCAGCGTCTTCCTGCTACATTTACGATGTCGTCGGTCCACCTTGTGGGTGGAATAGCATCTTTAGTTTACCTATATTTGGCGAAATTGGTCCATAGAGTGGTGAGGCGCTCCATCATCAGGCCCTCGAAGGTTTGGACCGCGACCATCGGCAGTGCGTGCGGCCGGAACATGTAGAGCAACTCATCGGCGTGAGATGCTCCTTCTGCTCCTGTAAATAAATAAATAATAGAATAAATAAATACGTTTTTATCTATATTTATAATAGCGACAGGTCACTCACTGACTGATTCACTCACTCATCACGAAATCTCACAAACTACAGAAGCTAGGTGTCTCAAATTTTGCATGAGGGTTCCTTTTAGTTTTAGAACATAGGTCTCACTAAGAACGGATTTTACGAAACTCCACTCCTATGGGGGTAAAACGGGATCCACGCCTACGAAGTCGCGGGCAGCCACTAGTAAATAAATATATTTTAATTAAAATACGTGCATGGGACACGCTACGTTTTTTCGGAAATACCAGCTCGCGACAATCTCCTTTTATGACCGCGAGTTTGCTGTACTGCTAAATTGATCGATTTCAATTTTTTAAACAAACAACGTTTATAACAAAATTCCTGAAAGATTTAAAATAGGTCCTGCAAAAGTAATGACCAGAAAGCTTAGGGAATGGCTGACCACTTCCTGCTTTTACAGTGTTCAGGAATTTCTGGACAAAAATTTGCATGTTAATGTATTTTAGCAGAATAGAGCACTTTGTATTTACAATACTATCTGTATCAACCTATTCTTTGCAAATAAATATCTTTGTCTTTGTCTTTGTATTTGATGTTTGACAGGTAGGTTATACCTACTCGTACTCGTACCAATTTACCTTGACAATCGTAAAGAGCCCTGATAAGTAAATACGTTGTTGTTGGGTAGGTACACAAGTAATTATTGTAAACTGGTTATAACTGTGCGCGTAATTACACCTAGTATACATGCTGGCCACGTGAAATAAAGACTTATAATCAAACATAATTACTCGTATTTACGTAGTTGTAATGTAATTTTTGACGTTGTTTATGTACGTAAAGTACCAACAGATTAGTTACTTTAAAAGGTCTTTTAACGCACTTAGCCTTAGTTACACCATCTTACTTTAACTTTAACAAACGTCAAAAATCTGAAAAACTCCATACTAAAAGCACCGGTTATCGTTATAGTTACGGTCAAAGTTAGGTGCTGTAACTCAGCCTGACTCTCTTGATTTGGCCATTGGTGTTTATTGTGTTGAGTTACTTGAGTATAGTTGTGTATGATACGAATATGACTTTATAATAAGAACATATAAAGTACTTATCTTACCTATAAAATATGCCAACGTCTTCCCCACGTTTATCAGCCCGCTGTACTTGAACAAGTAGTAGAACACCGGCTGATCGCTGGTCCTGGAGTACAGTTCCGACACCAGCACCGACGGGTACTTGAAGTGCACGTCCGAGTACAGATCCACCATATCCATTATCAACTCATCCTTCTCAGACGAGAAGTAATGCTTCTCTATTCTTTCCACTGTCGAATTCTTCGCTTCAGCACTTGGGAACACCAGGTCGGGCTGAAGAGTCTCCGCAGTGTCGACCTTCTTCAACGACGTCCCATAATCCTTGCCCACGAAAAATATACCCTCATTATCGTTGAAGCCGATTATCATCGGCACTTTCGTGTAGTTCCCTGTCTTTATCAACGTAGTCGGAAACTCTGTTATAATCGGCTCTACACCAGGCAAAGGTTCCTCTATGCAAGGCACGAACAACGTCTCAGCTGTTATCCAGTTCTTGCGTTCCGAATACTTTATTGCGTTAATCAGCTCATCGGGACTTCTTTTAGATAGGGTCTCATAGATTTCCTGAGGGTCAGTTGAATTCTGACCAAATTCTCGGGCTATATTGCTGGCAGTTTTGATCGGATCGTGTTGCAGTCCCCAAGGAGAGAGCGCAGACCCGCTTTGTAAGATGACTTTGCTGAAAAGACCTCTCGCTGACATGGACAGAAGAAGGAAAGAAATCGAAACAGCGCCCGCACTCTCTCCGAATAAGGTGACGTTATCAGGATCTCCTCCAAATTCGCGTATGTTTTCTTTGATCCATCTCAAAGCGGCCACTTGGTCTTTTAGGCCAGCGTTTCCTGGGGCTTCTTTGATACCGAGACAAAGAAAGCCTTCAACGCTCAATCTGTAGTTGATACCGACGTATATAACGCCGTGTTCGGTGAAGAAGTCACCTCCGTAAACGAAGGGGGTGCCCATGCCTTCGAAGAAGCATCCTCCGTGGATGAAGACCATGACTGGGAGCCTGTCTCCAGGCTTGGCGTTGGCGGGAGCGTTGATGTTGAGTTTGAGGCAGTCGGGCTGGCCTACGGTGATGGAGGACTTGCCTACCCGCTGAGTGCACCAGGTGTTCTCGTTGATGGCATCGAGGATCCCTTCCCATTTCGGAGGTGGCAATGGGGCCTGGAAAAGTTATTTTTGTTGGTGAATAATAATAGGTAATTGCTAAAGTAACAATTTAAGAACCTTGAAAATATTAATATTATTGTATTTCAGACTTTCAGGCGGTAATAATAGAAAAACTGAGCCCCTTGAGTCTCCAGATAATCAACCTGCCACAATTTCAGACCATACATTACAGAAATTATAATACCAGGTATAATTAGGTTATTTTCCTTAGCTCATGGAACACTAAGGTTGGGTTGTACCATCTTACTTTAACTTTAACAAACGTCAAAAATCTGTCAAAATCCATACAAAAATCACCGGTTATCGTTATAGTTACGGTTAAAGTTAGGTGGTGCAACTCAGCTTAAGTGGTCACATGAGACTGCGGCAACAATTGATTTCTATTGTGTCTCGATTCGCTGGCACAAGTTAAAAGGTTATTCTTTTTTACCTGTACTAGGTATGTAGACTGAGTTCCTTACTAAGCAAAAACAACTTTTTCATTTTACAGTAAAAAATGTGAATGCTTATGACCGCAGTGAACCCAAAATAAATTATGAATACCAACTTTTTGTAGTATATTTTTTTATTATCAATACCAACATAAATTATTTTCGGAAAAATAACCTATTGTTAAAAGTTGAAAAAAAATGGTTTTACCCGACTGCGCCAGAAGAAGGGTTATTATTTCAATTATAAGGAAACAACTTTAAGTACCTACATTAAATTAAATTAATAAATGCATAAAACTTAGTTTGTTAATTATCTTAACTTTTAACGGCAACATTGACTGTGTTTTCCTGGTTTACATTTACATTCTGAGAAACATGTCCATACTTATGTTTTTAGGGTTCCATTAAGGCATATCGGAACCTAAGTAGGTAAGGTCATTTTATTAATTGCCCTTCTGTCACAGTCACAACAACATTTCAAAACTAGTCTCTCTCCGATATAAACCAATTTTTTTTAACTAAAAACCTTAAAATGTATTCCAGACGTCATGATTATCTTATGCAGCGTGCAAGATGGGCCCTGTACCAATATTTGTTAGGGGCCCAATCTAAAAAGGGTCATAGATCGAGGGGCCCTTTTTCGTCTAAAAAGTCCTTGCCAAATTATAGATCTTCCCTTAGCATTTGCCTACTCTGACTAATCCTGGGGCCCCGTATCATTGATACGGCTGATACGGCGGTGCTACACCCCTAATATATGTAGACTGTAGACCATAACATTTTTATCCTAGGTTTAGAAATTTTTTTTACTTCACCGCAATGTTCTAACAAATTTTAACTAAAACTTCCTCGATGTTTGTTAAGAATGAAGCAAGGATCACTCAATCCACATGCACATAAATATGTATGCCAATGCACGGAACTACCGCACGCCTTCTACTCTTTATTCCACAAACGAGTTGTGATTAATTTGAGACGGAGCAGTCATGTAATCATGTTGTCCTTTACAAAACAAGATTGTAAAAAAAAGACAGAAAATCAAGATTGTCTCACCTGAAACCGGTTCCTCTTGTCCACAGTCCCGTACGGTATACCGAGGAAGAGGTGGAACCTTCCAGCGCCCACGACCCTGCCCCGCACCAGCCCATCCTTGGTCCTCACCAGTGGAGACGGCAGCTGGACCACATTCACCGCAATGAAGGTCGCCAACACCATCCATTTCATATCTGGTTCTTTCTAGCTGATGCCTGCTTTAGCCATACTTTACTAAGAAATAGGACTTGCCATTTTGGAGATAAGCTGAGTTGTCAAACAATATTTTAGTTAGTCATCAATTACAATGACCCTTAGGCCCAGAACACACGGTGCAACGCAATTGCAACGAAACTGCAACTTCTAATTACTTTTGAGTTGCATCTAAGTTTCTGCCATAGATTCCGTTGAGAGACCACACATGACGCGACCATTTCAAACCGGTTTCAAACTGGTCAATGAAACGCGTCATGTGTGGTCTCTCAACGGAATCTATGGCAGAAACTTAGATGCAGTTTCGTTGCAATTGCGTTTCACCGTGTGTTCTGGGCCTTAGGCTTTTATAATTCACTTTTGTAGGTACACTAAAGGCCCTTTCCCCACAGCAATCCTGTTTTGCGGGATCCAGTAATGTAGGATCCCGCAAATGGACTGTCGTGTGATCACACAAGTTTTGAATTTGAATTCCAAATTCGAATGGAGCAGTTTTTTGCGGGATTCGATACTGTAAACGAGTACCTACTAGTACCTACTAATTAAGTATTACCAATAATAGCTATTGTTGTAGGGTAGACCGGGGACAATAGTACCATTTTTTGGAAATTGTTCAATATTGAGAAATCTAATGAAATATAACTTATTCTGTTAGTATGCTGTAAAAACTAGACTCCTAAGCTACAAATTTAAGCATGCAGAGTTGAACTATTCGAATACTTAATGAAAAACGAGTTTGAACTGTACGATGTCTCATGTTACAATTGACCCCTACAACGGGTCAATTGTACCAATATTATATGAGGCTATAAAAGTCGTTATGTTTATCTAATCATCACCTTTATTGGTATTCTGTACTCTTAATCTCCTACAATCATCATTCTTTATTAATTGAGATCGAAAATATTTAGGAACAAGTATGAAAAATCAACACTACAGTTTAAAAACAAAACAATAACTTTTCTTCCATAAAAACGAAAAAGCTAACTGTTTCTACATAATATGTCATTTATTTGGCTCGGATATTGCTCCTGAAACAACAATAAGCATAATAACAATGATAGAATAATCAAAACTTAAAAATCTATTTTTGTATGAGGGTACAATTGACCCCTGGTACAATTGACCCTGATTTATTTATACATGCTTCGCCCTTTTAAAAAAAAATCATAAGCCTGTTCATAAAGGAATAGATCCGTTGATCCGTGATCAGTACTTTTGACTCTACGTCGAGGCATCTAAAACAAAACGTTCAAATACTTAGTTACTTACTGAATTAAGCTAAAATGTACATATTCAGAAGGGTTTTAGAAACCTATATTAAAATATTTTAAGTAGGCATTTAGGTACTTATATCAACTTTTTATCGACATCTACCTACTTATTTAATAAAACACATTAACTATTTTTTCAGTAGGTAGGTATGCCTATAATTATAAAAATATAATTGTAAAAATGTAAAATAACCACGTGAATGTTTTATAATAACTAACTTATTTTATTATAAGTATAGGTACTTTAAAACCAATTTAAAATATTAAGTATAAAATAAGGTTCCGGGGGTTAATTGTACCACGGGGTTGATTGTACCGCTACAATTGACCCCATGGAGACTGGTACATTTGTTCCAAGTAGGTAGTCAAGAGAACTTCACCTAAAATTCAGTCATTTTCACAGTGAATGCCAATAATTCGCTGTCGATACAAAGTTTAGAGCCTGGATAAACTATTGACAACAATACTTTGGTAACAAATAGCTTATTAGGCAACTTATGAGCTCATATATTTGACATAAAAACTTACTGCGGCTGGGCAAAAAACAAAAATCCTTCCTGTACACCTTCGTTTTTCAGCGCAAGCGCCACCGACTGTTGAGCGGATGGAAACACAAAAAGCGCATATTCTGACGCTATGCACACAATCTAACGTCGCTTGTATGAAGAAATATCGCCGATGGTACTATTGACCCGTGGTACTATTGTACCCGGTCTACCCTACCTATCTACTTTTAATTCCTACGGGATGGAAAATTTTACTAGATGCCAAGATCATAACCCCTCGACCGTTATTCATCATAGTATTAGCACTAGTTAATGTTCATTCTAATTTGATAAGACTGGTCAAAACATTATTTAATAATTATTGGATAGATCCGTGAACTAGTTTTATACTACGATATGAATTAAATATACTTGGACTTCACCGCGACATCCAGACAACACACATATGTATAAATAAACATACATAAATAATCGTTTTTATAAATACATAACATATTACACAAAGAAACCACTCAGACCAATACAAACAGATATTATGTACACGCACAGTAATGTTTGTATTCTGCAGGGATCGAACCCGCGACCTCTAGGGCTCTGACATAGTAGTCCGGTACATTAACTACCTACTAACGTAATATACATTGTGTGGTATAATTGATTTAACGTTTAACTCGTCAACCGCTTACTTATTATACAAAACAATCATTTGTCAATCATAAAAAACAAAGTCCTACTTATAAGTAAAAATATTGAACTTAAATAGTTTTCATATTTACGCTCTACTTACAATTTAAATGTAACTTCCTCTGATTGGTTTGCCAAACTCGAAATTAATTAATATTGAAATATTATAAGTCACAACTCACAAAACACGTCAATCCAGACCGAGTTCTCACCTTCGAGTAGCATGATATTTGTTTACTTGTACACAGCCACTTATAATAATAGCAATGACAATGAGTTAAAGGATTTGCCACACTGCGTTCTGCGCTCAGGTTAAAATGAACGCAGCCCGCATATGTATGAACAACATTGTCGGTCTCTACAGGGTGGAAACGATAAGTGATCTCACTCGATTATTTCTAAACTATTCAAGGTCTATCAAAAAACTGGTTACTGATCCTGAAAGTGCTTCACAAGCTCTTTCAAACGGTACCATTAGTAGGTTACAGAATAAACCGGATTTATCCAAAAATTCAATGTTTTTATCTTGAATCGCCATCAGGAAGATTCAGGATCAGTAACCAATTTTTCGATACCTTGTATAGTTTAGAAATAATCGAGTGAGATCACTTATCGTTTCCACCCTGTATACATTTTGTATTGATGCGGCCGGACAGTACAGGCACGAGCAAAGAACACAAACCGCAACGCTGACAGATTGCCTTGACACGACCGCTGACAGATTATCTTGTCCTGTAGGTCTAGGATGCGCGCCGCGATAAGCAGTTATCACGCCATTTTATCGATTTTGCCCATATATTTTGACGCCGATAAAAGTTATTACGGCGCGCATCTAAGTCCGACTGTAAGTCTAGGATGCGCGCCGTGATAAACGTGTATCGCGTTACTATATCTATACGCGATAACCCCACATTTTGACGTCTAGCCCCTAGCCCGCCTGACCTGACCGGTTGCCCTGAACGACAATACTGTACACATGGTGCGGGCTGCGTTCACTTACCTGACCGCAGAACGCATCCAGTGTAGCAAATCCTTCACACTTAAGTATTTACAGTAGCTCATTATTAAAATTAGAGGCTAAGGTAACCTCAGAGGCTGGAAATGCTCCGTCTCATATACAGGGTGTGTAAAAACAGTGTGGTCTCGAAGCGTTGATGGGAGGCATAAATAGATGATTGACATATGGGTGCGTGAGACCGCTGAAACAATATGTCTCCCTGGCTGATTCGTAAATGATAGTTGATAGTACTCATTCATGAGCCATGCTACCAATTAATTTGTCACGGGGCCTCGGATGGTATAGTTAGTGTTTAGTTACTGGAAATACATGGATCAACGGCTATCTTTTTGTCGTATAATGAGCGAAACTTTGGATGTCTGACAAATTGTATGCTCTTTGAGCGGAACATAGTGATACTACCTAATGTAACATGTCACCATTTTACCTATGATTCACAATAAATGATTTTGTATTTGTATTTGAAATCGAATAAATCTATTCAATTTCGTCTTCTTCTCCTGACACATCTGACATGAATTTATTCCGGATTTTAGAAGTCTGAGTGAGAGCCCTAAGTCTGTGAGCTTGTAGCTACCAATCAGTCTGAATTAAACTTTTCGGGACAAACTGTATATGAGTAAAATAAAATAAGTAGGTATATTAATGTTACTTTTTTGTACTCTTAACTATTGCATGTGCCGTAAAAATAATGTAAGGACCTAGTAATAGTTACTTACTATCTGAAATGTTTTGTAAAAGCATAATCTTTGACAAATTGTTAAGATTCATTTTAGGTAGTAATTTTCAGCAGAAATTACAAATATAATAAATACCTAATAACTATGTATGACATGCGCGGCAGTTTGAGCATAAGAAATAAATTAGCAACATAGTATTTTCATATTTTTTTTCTTTCAATGCTCGATAAGTTTGAAAATAATTTATTGTTTAATTAAATATCGAACGGAAACATAAAGGATGATGGGCATATTGGGCGTTAAACCAACAGAAACAAAAAGTATACTAAATCAAAGCTTAATACTAGTACTTCATTTCATAGTATGACAACAATCCTGAAATACGCGGGGATACGGAGATAGAGGTCGTTGAATATGCAAAGTTTCCATAGTAATTTCACATCACATTAGGGTAATAAAAGGGTCATTCCACCGGCCAAGAAAATCACGTGTCCGGGGCCAAAAAGTACCCGAATATCATAATATTTTAGTAACAAATATTTTTATCTAATAGTATAACTTTGGTTCTTGTTGTTAAACCATAGAGATAGTTAATAATAGTTAATTAAGTAATTTAAAAAAAATCGTAAGTCGTCAAAAATTGATTACCACGACGTGTCCGCGCCCCCGATTTCAGAACAAATTTGCTCGTATAAATTAATCCGATATTATTACCGCTTTCAATGCTTATGTAATCGATTACTGATTAAATAAACATTGATAAATTAAATACGATATAACTATATCACTAAAAGGTTTTGTAAAATAACTATTTGAAGTTGTGTCCGGGCGTTAACCGTAGTGAGAGTATCGTATCATATCTTACTATCGATTCTATCGATTTAGTAAGTATGTATACCGAATAAATCATAATCGATTATTCGATTGCAATAATCGATTATATTGCTGAAAATAAGGAATTGAATTAACAATCAAATGATAGTAATGATGGTAATCAATAAAATCGATTAATCGAATTGTTAATCGATAAATCGTTATTTGGCAATATCGATTATGCGACAACACTACAACTTAACTGGTAAAAATCCCATTGAAACATGACTGTGTTCATGTCATTTCTCTAAATGGTACCTAGGTATGGTCCTACACTTATAATGTAGAACATGGTTTAAATATACCATTTGTTGGCCCCACTCCTGAACTGTTGGACATAATAATGGATAAATAACTTAATGTATTTAAAATGTGAGTAGATAAGTATATTAATTAATAATATTTTTGTTTGCGCAATAAAGCACCTATTACTATTACACATTATGTCAATTTCCAAGCAAACCCGGGAGTTTTTGATAGTTATTTATATGAAAATATATTTCTGATATTAAGTCCTAACAAATAATAGTAGTTACATTTCTGTTGGTTTTACGCCCAGATTCCATAGAAAAGTGCCCATCATCCTTTAACCTTTTTTAATTACTTGTCCAGTTTAACAACCATGACTCGTTGCAGCTACTACACCGGCCGATAAAAGTGTTTTATTTTTAAATTTTAACTTAGATGTTATTTCTGCGACGCAATCTCCCCCTTATGTCATTTATAAACCCTTTATTATAAGAAATAAAAAAAATATTTGGTTCGAACCAGTTTTCACATAAATTAAATAACACAGTTTGATTATGAGTATATGACATATTGTGTTGATGAGAAGTGACGCAGTTGTTTAAGTGACTCGATTAGTATGCGAAGGTCAAAAGCTAATGGCTATATCAATTGATGTTCTTATACGTGCACACATTAGGTTTGTACTTTGTGTCAATAAACTTGTAAATTATTATTTACATGTACGCATAATATGTGGTTAAACAACTGCAGAACTTGACCTTGCCAGAATAAACAGTCACAGCAAAGATGAAGCTGCCTAATATAAATTAATTTAATTATTAACATGCTGTCCCGACAGACATTTTCCGTTAAGTACACTCAATTTCTTGAATTTTATTACATAAGAACATCTGACAATATTATCGCAACAAAAAAGAATTAGAAAATTCGATCCAGCCGATCACGCGTCCATGCAAAAAGGGATTCATTTTTAAATATTATGAAGATTTTATGATGGTTTCGATTGTAATGCCAAACAAATTGACATACCTCCTACCAGCATTGTAGTTCGTTGCCACACCAAAATTGTGTAGCCAAGATCTCCCGCTTGACCGCCAAAACCAAGTGAAGGCCAAGTCAATTGCAGGGGAAAGTTAAAAACTGCAAAATGCACTGCACTTAATTTTGGTATTATTCAAGAATAACGTGCTCATGTAATTACCTACATAAGAAGCGTATAACCACGGTTTGATGGAAATCGTTTTCCAACGTCCATTAGGATAGGATGAGCGCCGCGATAAGCGGTTATCGCGCCATGTTATCGATTTTGCCCATACATACATACATTTTGACGTCTAAAATCTTCGATAAGAGTATATCGCGGCACGCATCCTAGACTGGCATGTCTACATAATTTGGGACTGCATCGAGAGAGAGTTTGAGTACTACTTATTATTATTTTGTGGTTAAAGTTCATCTGTACACAGATCGTCACTTACCATCAGGTGAGATACAGGCCAAGAGCTTCCTCGTTGTGGATAAAAAAAAAAAAAAAAAAAAAAAGATAGTTACGATATAATGAAAAAAAAACGCATTATTTCAAGGATTTATTATTTAGGCTGCAGGAACACGCGACCCTTTCTAATTTACCCAAGGATGGATTTACTATGAACTACTATTTTTTGCTAGCACGGTGGATCAACGACCTAAAGTAAGGCGCTGGATTCAAGCCTCTAACAACCGGCCTTTGTGGAAATCATTGCCTATGTTCAGCATTGGACGTCCTACGGCTGAAATGATGATGATGATGACTTTTTAAGTTCACATGATGCTGTTTGTTACCAAATAAAAATAAAGGAAACGTTCATACGGAATTAGAAGATGAGCTCAAACCAAAAATCTCAATTCCGAAACTGGGCCATTCGCCTCTTAAGACATCCACGGGAGGAGTGGTCTTATTATATTCTACCGGAGACAATGGTAATTTTAGGATTTACCTATGCATTAGTCAGCGTTTTATAAAATAGACCTTATTATGGTACGAATTCTAAAATTCTAAGTCAAGGTTGCAAAACCAGTTTTATAAGACGGCCTTGCGTGACATTGTCGGGCCCACTTGAATGAACAGGGTCAGTACGATTGCATTCAGGTTCATAAATTATCGCAAATCTAACATCGATATGCGTCACTCTTTTATTCAAATGTCATGGACAATATTGCTATATTTAAGTATGTGTTAATTTGTGTCGAAAGAAAACGCCGTGCGTTTGCTTTTTGTGTCTTCTTCTTTTAGTGTTCTCGTGGCGAGAAATATACCTACTATAGACCTATGCATAATCTTTCTGCATTAATAAAGTTTACTAAACTTTGTGCTTGATAATGTATCTTCTTGCAATAAATAATTTAGGTTTAATGCCAAAGGTCATCAGTAACAGACTAATAGTTCAATTTGAAAGATAATCTTCGCGACCTACTTTATACAGTCAACTTAATGAAGATCAATATTACACACTGCAAAACATACGTTAACGCGTGGCACACAGCCGACACCAAGGCGACGCGAACGCGACCTTACTTGACACTTTTTAACATATAAAAGCCCTATATTATTTGGAAATACTGATAAAAAAAACATTCGGAAATCGTAGTTATTTGCCAAGAATGCTAACTTTACAAAAATGTTTGTACAAACATCTTGACACATTATATCTGTGACCGGCATAAATATACATATACAGGGTGCCCCGTAAATTAGGGACAACCTTCCTGTGGTGACCAACTTTTCTTCGTTTTAAAAATCACTTTTAAAAATCTGTTTTTTTTTTATTATTCTATACAAATTCAATCGGTTGTTTGATGACTTTGTACAGGAAGAAGAGTTATTTTTATGCAATTTTGCAAAAGTCATAAAACAAACGTTTTTACCTTGATGAGTGGAGTAGTCGGGATAACTATAATATTCGGAACATCCTTAATATTCGGGACATGCTGTATGTACGGAATACTTGCACTACAAGCTAAACACTGGGACATCGTTAGGGGCTATTTTAGAACAAAAATATTTAGTATGTATTATGTATACAAATCTGTAAGGAATTACTCTATTATGCTGATGGGAAGTACATTTCGAAACAATAGTAATACGAGTAAAGTACCTACATGTCCTGGATGTGAGGCAATCAAGGAAGTATACTAAACGGAATAGGAATAAGTAGTCTTGCCGACCTTAACACTTTTATAGGCATACTAGCTGTGCCCCGCGGTGTTACCCGCGGTAAAACGTAGCCTAAGTGTTAATCCAGGGTGTCAGAAATCCAAAATCTCTCCAGCCTTTTTAGACGTAAAGAAGTAACAAACATACACACACACTCACAAACTTTCGCCTTTTTATAAATTCTGCGTTTTCTCAGCACTGGTTTAGAGTATGGCCATTTATTGTCCAGAAGCAGTGGGAGGGTTAAAGGTATACTGGGACGTGTAAAAGCGCTTTTTTAAAGCCTATTTGCAGAAAATAAATGACCTTTATGACTTTAAATTATAATTTGTTAAAACAAGGACGTCCACGTCCACTGCTGAACATAGGCCTCTCCCAATGATTTCCACAATGGCCGGTTGGTACCTATGGCTGAAATGATGATGATGATGAAAGGATGTGGTAAACTGGAATTTCTAAACGCGTTTGATTCCTGTGATCCTGGCATTCCTTCCTACGGTATGAATCGCACATGCCTTTCACACCGTGCTGTGAATCGCACAAGAATTCCAACGAATTCTATTCGCACCGCTCCAAGTCTAGTGCGAAAAGTTCCATTCAGTAACAGTTCTTGGCCGATTCACACCACGGTCCGAATAAAACATGGTGCGAAATGCCTAAAGGTTCAGCCAAACACGGCCAAACCAAGGCGTGCAGCCTGCGTGCGCGATGGCGATTGTCGTGTATGAACTTATAGAATTACTTGATGTTCATTGTCCGTGGTGCATATCTTTTCACAAAGGTTACTAATAAACCTTTGTTTGTCACCTGTCATCCGCTTTGCAACGGAGGGAAGTCGAACCTTAACTTCGAACTCCTCCTGTGTTCTTCTGATTAATTTCGTTGCGGGTCCAATGACAGTTAACTATCCCCCGGGACAAACTTGACCTTCACTGGTTGAGTTTTTATTGGCGGTCAAGCTGTAGATCCTGTCTACACAGGAGTTGTAGGAACGAGAGGTGGGAAAAGTCCTGTTTTGTAGAGTTCACATCAACGCGTCCTGTCATTGGACGCGGCGATCTAGATAGTGATCGCCATCGCCATCGCGGACGCGATCTGCACGCGTTGGTTTGGCTAAAGCGTAAGGACCTAGCTTTGTGGTGTCTGTAGGTACTTGAACGCAGTGTCCTCGGCCTTGGCGCTTTATCTATGTTTTCGCAACGCTATGCGCCGGCGCCGCAGATGTTGCCAAACAACTAGACATTTTGATGATACCCCAAAAAAAGGTTATTGTCGACTTGAAATAGCAATGTTATGACGAATTCTACGAGTAATTAATGGTACCTATATGAACGTAAATAATATACGGTGCAGCAGCGAAAAATTAATATTATACATACTTATAACATACTTAATCATCATAATCATCATTTCAGCCATGGGCCGTCCACTGCTGAACATAGGCCTCCCCCAATGCAGCAATGCTTTCCATGTTGATCAATTGGTAGCGGCCTGCATCCAGCGCTTCCCTGATTCCCTGATCCCTTCAAATAATACCTGATTTTTACAGAATTTTTATGGTACCTACTGTTTTTGCCTGCCATGTACCAATACCAATACTCTACCAAGTAACCTAGTCTGTGTTTACTTAAGAAAATGCACAATTCAATATCACAATTTCACTAACACAAAGTTTTGTTTTGACAAAAAGCATCGCGGCAACAGCGCGGCACGTCACAGTGCAAACCGGTGCAAGTCTCAAAAATTAAAAACGTGTTTTTAAGAGTTTTTTCGTATGACGCGGCTGGCGTTTCGTCGCCGACTGACCGGAGTGCACTAAGCACTTAAGCAGCCTTTCACAAGATCTCAAGGCTGGTCACTGATGGACGCTTGGCCGGCCAGTATGCCAACATTTGACATTGGATGCAGGAGACTTGCACTCAGTAAAAAATGAGTGCGAACGCGAATTTAAAGGGTTCCGGACGATTTCACAGAATATGGCAGATTTTTTGCAATTAGCTAAATTTTTTTTTTATTAAGTCAAAGGAACAAAAACTTCAAAAAGGTGTCTTATTTTGACGTGTGCGTGTGTTCATATTTAATTATTTATTTTTTTGGTTATTCTTTATTTCTATTATTTCGTTGTTTATTTCTCCATGACCCGTGACTTTCTTTGCCTTATAATAGCCATAGCGGCAATTTTAATTGTTAAATAATACTAATTAATCTACTCTGTCGCATTGGGGTAACCTGTAATGTTAGAGCTAAGATTGTTATTAAATAAATAAATAAATAAATAATACCAAGGTAGGCTGTAGAAAACTATGTACCTAGTTAAATCAGTTGAAAAAACACAAAATAATAACAGTGTAAGACCCAACATTTATTGTAGATAAACAATACTTATATATTATGATAAAGTTACAAATACATGTAGGTGTGTAGAAATTGAGAAAAAAAATGCTCCAAAAATATATTTTCCTAATCCGGTTACATTTCTAATAAATTCTTCATTATTGTGAGTAGAAAGTGAAAAAGCCTTTTCTTTAGAGCCTAGTTTCTAGGCGAACATTCGCAGCCAGATCAATCTAGAACAGCGTTTCTTCACCTTTTTGATCCAAGGATTCCTTAGGAAATCAAGCACAATTTTAAGGACCCCTTAATAAAAAACCATTTATTTATTATTGTTCAATGGTCCGTATAAAAGGCTGCGTACACCCATACATATTATGGGGTTAAAAAACACTGATCTAGAACATCTTTTATATAAAATAAAAATAGGCTACAAATCGTTATTCTTTACTATTCCTTAAACTTAAATTACTAGTTATAATTTTAAGCCATACCCACATTGAGATAAAATTAAGTATAATTACAACAATCTCATTTAATTTTAATATCACAAGAAACAATGCCCATAGTTATTAATAGCTATAATAAATCCACTTGAGTAGTTAATATAATATTTCTATAAATAATAATTTATCATTATTTACTTTTAATTAAGAGCAAAGCTTAGATTGTTTGTTACATATTTTCATTTTTGTAATGCATAAAACGTATAGATTTTTGACACTCTTAGGCTGAGTTGCACCACCTAACTTTAACAGTAACTACTATCGTAGTACTTATTATTATTCTGTGCTACTATTACGATAACCGGTGTATTTTGTATGGAGTTTGACAGACTTTTGACGTTTGTCAAAGTTAAATTAAGATGGTGCATCCCACCCTTAGTGTTTGTTTAGGTACTACAATTTTTACAAGTAAAATATTTTTTTAAATATTTCTTCAAAGTTTAGAAACTAAAACCTTACTTTATTGTAAAAGATTTTTACATTTTACTTTCTTTTTTACAAGTTGGCAAGAATGTTATTTTAAAAAGAAAAAATCAAATGCTGTGCGACTGTACTGGCACATGTATGGCCGCCTTATACGGGACTCGTTCCCGCAGCTGCAACTCCTGTGTAGCAAGGATCTACAGCTTGACCGCCAACAAAAACCAAACCAGTGAAAGTCAAGTACTACGCCGCTTTTAATAACCTAACAATTCTTTTAATTCTCATTTTTTTCTCCTATAATTGGTATAAGTACTATTCCAGAAGCGTAGAATTCCGCTTCCCCATAGAGGCGCCATGGAAAACTCCTTGTCTATGACCAAAACATGAGGGTCTGCCTTGTCTGTGGCTCGCCAGTTTGGAAGTGGAGGCGTAGACTGCCGCGTCGGGACACTGAAAAAAAAATAGAAAATTATAAATATTAAATAATCTAAAAATATTCTTATAACATCTTAGTATCCATTTCATTCTTAAGGTTCAACATTTAGTAATAATCACTTTTATGAGGTCTCAATAACACAAAATACAAATTATTTTTCTAGAAAAAACGACCTAGGCTATATTTGTATATTCTACAATTTAAAAATAAACTTACCCGAATTTAGCAAAATTGGTCCACATAGTTGTAATATTTTGTATAATATCCCACTCTATGTATTCGTGGAGAAGCACCGGCACTTTTATCTTGAACATGTAGAACAACTCATCGGCGTGGGTCGCCCCTGGCCAGGATTCAAACCCGAAGTATCGTTTAGCAAAATTCATCCACCCATCGTAACACAGCTTGTACGAAAACACCGGTTTATCAGAAGTTCTTACAAACAAATCTGTTGCAAAAACCACCGGAAATGATATACTTGCGTCTCCAACAAAGTGTGCAATCTTGTCCAGAGTGTCTTTTGTTATTTCTTCATCCCCCATGTACAGTTCTTTCAAGTTCTGGGCGGTCTTCAATTTTTCTTCTTCAGTCGGGAATTCAAGGTCTCTGGGCATTCCGCCCACAAAGCTATACTTCGACAACGTCGTGTCGTTTTCCTTTCCAATAAACATGTATCCTTCCGCACTATTATATCCAATGATAATTGGAACCTTGTTATAGAGACCTTTTGACATTATGTTGTACGGTATATCTGATAAGAACTGCTCTTCACCTGGCAACTTATCTTCCACACAAGGAACGAATATGTTCTCGGACAAGACTATGTCACCTTCTTTTCTCGGTACACGGGCTTTTATTAACTCTTGTGGAGTGAAACTCATGAATAATTTATATATTTCGTGAGGGTCCTCAGTTTCAAGGCCCAATTGATAAGCTAATGAACTAGCTGTTTTAAGAGGCTCAAATTGAAAACTCCAAGGGGACATGGCTGAACCACTCTGCATGATAGCTTTATGGTACAGTCCTCGTGACATGTGCGATATAAGATGGTACATCACCGACGCTGAGCCGGCACTTTCTCCGAATATCGTTATATTATCAGGATCGCCTCCAAAAGCTTTGATGTTTTTCTTGATCCATCGTAACGCTGCAACTTGATCTTTCAAGCCAGCGTTGCCAGGCGCTTCTTTGATACCGAGACAGAGAAACCCAAGGACTTCAAGTCTGTAGTTAAATGTGACTAGAATGACGTCATGTCTGATGAAATATTGAGGGCCATAGAGGAAAGGGGAGCCGGAGCCATCTCGAAAACCGCCTCCATGGATGAAGACCATGACCGGGTGAAGGTCTGGGGACGGGAGGACTGGCGTGTAAACGTTGAGAGTGAGGCAGTCTTCTTGGCCTGCTATCGCGGAGCTTGTGAACCTTTGTGTGCAGCGGACGTGCTCATCGCTGAAGTCTCTGATGCCTTCCCAGGTAGGTTCGGGTCCTGGTGCCTGTAATTTTTAAATGAACTGGTTTTACAGTCTGTTTACTTATTTTTATTTTGAAGGGAAGCGTCTGTTATTATAATTTCGCAAAACCATGTTCAGTTTTGGGGCTAACTGGTGACTCTGGTGAGCGCTAATACTGTCAAACTTCAAACTCCACTCTATCGACATTGGCGAATCCAGTGTGCTTCAAATACGCAATCAAATATCCTTTAAAAACAAAGATAAATGAGCCCTCGGTACCTGGAATCTGTTCTGCATGGTAGCGTAAGGAATGGCCAGGTACTGCGCATGCGTGCCGTCGTTGGGCACGACGCCGCGCAGCCAGCCGTTGCTCACGCGCACCGGCGCCGTCGGATGCTGCGCGAAGCGGGCCGCGTACAGCGACAGCAGTACCAACCACTTCACGCGCGTCATCTTATGTGACTTATGACATTGTTCTCTGAAATCTGCCAATATTGTGTTAGATCAGTGTTTTTCAACCTGTGGGTCGGGGGGTCGCAAAGCCTCTATGGGGGTCGCGACTCGCGAGAGATCGTAAAAACTACCCCAGTAAAAAAAACAGTAAAGTTTTAAAGATAGATTTATAGAAAATCGAAAGGTCGAGGGGTCGCGAAATATTTTTTCATACTAGGGGGGTCGTGTTATGAAAAAGTTTGAAAAACACTGTGTTAGATGATGATAAATTATGTACTAGCGGCCGCCGCTGCTCCGGCGACTTCCCGTTTACCCTCTTAAGGGTTGAATTTTGCAAAATCCCGTCTCTAACCTACGTTCTAAAAAGAACCTCCATGCAAAATTTGAGACTCCTAGCACTTGTAGTTTCTGAGATTTCGTAATGAGTGAGTGAGTCATTCAGTCAATCAATCAGTGACCTTTCGCTTTTATAATAGTTTCATCAAAATCCGTTCAGTAGTTTTTACGTGAAAGAGCACAAACAACCCATAGGTATCCATATCCTCACAAACTTTCGCATTTTTATTATTATGTATTGTAGAAGGATCGTTTTAAGTTACTAGTTCTACTACCGCGCTTCGCGCGCCTCTTTTAACCTGTTTCTGTGTGCCACATTTGTTGGGAACTGTATAGCGATACTAGATTATATTTATTAACTATACACTTCTTAATCTAATCGCTTTACGATGCCACCGTGTCAAGATGTGCTGTCGTCTATCCCTACATCTAATCCTGTTGTTTTTTAAATAATTGATAAGATACCTAATGCGATGATAATACAACTGATTAATTTATTGACGAAATGTTTATCGCCTAAGTACTCGTAAGTAGGCCTATATTAACGTGATAAGGGTTACCTACCTACCTGTTGATGATTATAGTAAATGTTTAATCAATTATTATTTCTAACTAGGTACTTATAAGTCCATAAGTGATAAGTAGGTACTTATTGCAATTTTACACAAGATATCGATATTGATCTAAAAAGAAAGGCACGTAAGTACGTCAGTATAAATGCTTTAGTGCAGTATAAATAAATTATTTATTATGCCCATCGATAAAAAAACTTAATAACATTTTATACATTATACTTCCTACACTTTAGCTCCTAGCTTATTTTTATGTAGGTACCTAAAATTATTTATTTCCTTATATACCTACCTACCTACTTGTTTGTCTTATTGGTTGTCCAAATTAATAAAAATAACGTAAATTAAATGTAAAATTGATAATGTAACGAACTAAAATACAGGTCACCAATAAAATTGCTTGCGTAGCCTAAACGAGTAGGTCAATCAACACTACTCGTACATACCTAAGTATAAAATAATTATTGTACCTGCTACACTTATAATTTCACATTTTCATCACAATTTCTCTTCACAATTTCACCAAAACACCGTTCCTTCACTTGTAAACGTATCACGCACGTCTCACGTCACCTTAAATCCGCGCATACGCATGCTCCAGCTACCTTGCTATAGCATTCACACTCGTTCAACAACTCGCTTACAAGAAAGAGAAGGGGCAATTTTGTGTATTAAGGTTATAATTTGCTTGTGCGCTCAAAGTCGACTGGAGAGTGCGATGACCAGCGTTTTAACAACATAGCGCAGTTTTCTTTCAGTAGGACTAATTCTACTGTACGTTACGCACTTTCATCAATTACACATTGAAACTGATAAACTTTTTAAGACAAATACAACGTGTATGTCGACGGACGCTTTATGATAGGTACCTATTTCATTGAAAATTTATTAACAACAAAATAACATTGATAAAAGAGTTTTAATTTTAGTTTTTTAGTTTTTATGAAGAGTCGCATCTCGAAAATTAAGCCGCCCGCCAAGGGAAAGGTCGGCAGTTCGATTCCCACCTTAGGCAATACGATTTTATCAAGTTGTTTAGAAAAATAAGTTTTCAAATTACACCTGAAGGGAAAGTAGGTACATAAACACGTACGTAACATTCCTTTATTTTTAAAAAGAAAGCGAAGTGCATTCAACGCTTGCCACACCCGGGAATCGAACCGATTAAAATCTGTAAAAATTTTACCCTGTATTTTTATTGCATCGATCGTCAATCCCTAATTTTAAGTGAACACTATGAAAACAAATTTCCTGATATGTTACCATAGGGGTCACTTAAAAATTAGGGATTGATGGTGAAAACAATGCCCGTTTTCTTTCTTTTATTTTTAAGTGGAGCCTTCCGATCGCCCTTCCATTGTGCTTAACAGTTGGAAGGAAAACCGGCTATGCTTACAACATGTCACAGAAAAAATACTATGCAGTTGTCTTCTTCTACATAAATACTGTGCCAATAAAAGATTTTTGTTATTTTCCTTCATACAGATACTATAACTAACTTTTGTTCACGGATTCGCCCGCGTGTAATTAAGTTTTTCACAGATCATTATAAATTTCAGTCTTTCAGTGGACGTCCTATGGCTGAAATGATGATGATGATGACTAATGAATGAGAACATTATGATCATAAATAGCTCACAAGAGAAAAACAATTGCTTTACTTTAAAAAAAACAATCGATTTAGGTACCTAAGTAAAGAATCCGCTGCGTGCGGGCGATTTCAAAATTGGCACACGTGGATAATTTACCATGTTCATTGAATAGAAAAATACGTGCCCCTGACATGCCATGTCACGGGGGGGAGTGCGATTAATAGCTAGCTCATGGTTAGCAGTTTAGCACAGTCAACTAAGTACCATCTTCAAATTGGTAGCCTAACATCCTGGGGGAGGCACCAGACCTTTCTGGGGGGAATGTTAAGAGATCATCAGATTACAACGTTTTCTCGAAACTCGACGTGCCTACACAACTACGTAAAATTAGTAGGATGATGCATTGTTTAGCTTGACATAATACGGCGGTATGTAAATTAAGTATTAATAAGCGAAAAGTAACGAAAAAAGACACCGCAAAAACGCGGTATTAACCCAATGATCTTGAAGTGCGTCGTCTCGTTCCCGTCATGGTTAAGTATTTCTAACTCATTCATATTGCTTTTTTCTGTTTGGGTGCTGGTGTTTTGTTTCAGTTCAGTTTCAATGTTTTATAAAATACATTTAATTAAGTAATTACAAAAGACACATGCATCACCATCACGTTACATTTAATGGAAAGAAAGAGTGCGACAATCCAGTAAGTACTTAGTGTCTAGGCATTTTTTTAAATAATAATAAGCACGTCCACTTACAAGGTGGACCGACGACATCGTAAAGGTAGCAGGGAAGCGCTGGACGCAGGCCGCTACCAATCGATCGACATGGAAAGCATTGGGGGAGGCCTATGTTCAGCACTGGACGTCCTGTGGCTGAAATGATGATGATGTTCGCTTTCAGAAGCCGGCATGCGTGCTCGCAGCAAGTGGGTGGTGCTGTGGGCGCTGTGGGCGGCGCGGCTGCTGCAGCAGCCGACGCCGCCGGTGCGCGTGAGCGGCGGCTGGCTGCGCGGCTCCGTCTCTCCTGACGGCTCGCACGCGCGTTATCTCGCCATTCCCTACGCCACTGTACAACAGCGATTTCAGGTAACAGTCTTTTAACACTTTATAAATACATAAGATGGCACGTTTAACCTGATGTGCCGTTTTCTATACATACATAAGGGAACGCGTTCATGCCATCTTCAGCAAAATGTCCTTAGTGAAAAGGGATGCGCTGGCTGCAGCCCACTACCAATCGATCAATATAGAAAGCATTGGGGGAGGCCTATGTTCCGCAGTGGACATGGCTGAAATGATGATGATGATGAAAAAGGTGATGAACTTTCTGGTCAGGTTCCTCTAGCTACCTTTGGATGAGCCTTACGTTAATATTGCAGGCACCTGGCCCTGAACCAAAATGGAATGGAATATTTGAAGCGATCGACGACCACATACGCTGCACACAATCATGGTCTCATGGGTCAAACTTTACTTCTGGCCAAGAAGACTGTTTGATACTCAACGTTTACACACCTCTGAATGTGGATGTGGAGAAACCATTACCGGTAATGGTGTTTATTCATGGAGGAGCATATATTCGACGGTCGTCGTCACGCTTCATGTATGGTCCAGACTACTTGATTAACAAAGGAGTCGTGCTAGTCACTTTGAATTATAGATTAGGTGTTCTTGGATTCTTGTGCTTGGGTATCAAAGAAGCCCCAGGAAACGCGGGCATGAAAGACCAAGTTGCAGCGTTGAAGTGGGTACAAAGGAACATCAGGGCGTTCGGCGGTGACCCTGATAATGTAACCATTTTTGGCGAGAGTGCTGGAGGAGCTTCTGTCGCTTTGCACGTCCTTTCGCCAATGTCCAAGGGCCTCTTCCATAAAGCTATCGTGCAAAGTGGCTCCTCTCTTTCAGAGTGGTCGTTCCAGTACGAGAATGTACGCATGGCAAGCTTATTTGCCAAAGAAATGGGCCTTGATAGCAAAGATCCCTATGAAATATTCAAGTTTTTTACAAACAAAACACTTTCTGAATTGGTTGTGACAATGGTGCCAAGAATGGAAGGTACATTAAGAGTCATATCAGCAATCATATTCTCGCCATGCGCTGAACAAATCATAGAAGGAGAAGAACCGTTTTTAACAGATTTGCCTTACAATATATTAATTGAAGGAAAATACAACAAGGTGCCAATGATGGTAGGAAGTAACACGGAGGAAGGTATTTTGTTTGCAGGCTCAGATGATACTGAAATGCTTAAAAAGGTAGACTTCGAAAAGGCGCTTCCAAGAGACCTATCTTTCCCATCAAAAGAGGTGCGGGAAGCTATAGTCACAAAGTTGAAAAAAAAATATGGGGGGAAAAATGATGTATCAACAGATTCATTAATGTATCAAATATCCAAATATTATGGAGAACCATTTTTCAACTACCCTTTAATTGAAGAAACAAATGTGATAATGCAAACAAGCAGCAGGCCAATATGGCATTATTTATTTGGTTATGACGGTAGTCGAAACATAGCAAAACTGAGTGCTGGTCTGCAAAGAATGACTGGGGCAACGCATGGTGATGAGCTATTTTATTTATTCAGTCAAGAAATTATTCCTAATTTGTTTGAAACAAACATGATAGAGAAAATGACTGCAATGTGGACCAATTTCGCAAAATATGGGTAAGTAGGTAGGTATGTAGAAGAAAAGTTTTAGAAAAAAACTATTCTAAATTTCATCATCTCCAAATTCCAGAGATCCAACACCAGTAACCAGCGAGCTTCTACCAGTGAAGTGGCCACCAGTGACTCCGATGGATCAGCGTGCCCTTTTCATAGACCGTGATATGAAAACCGTTCCTCTGTGGCGTGCAGAATCATTTGTGTTCTGGAGAGAACTTTATGCAAAATATCGGAGAAAGTTACCTACACGAAAATAAATCTTAATTTATTATCCATTGGCGTCTGCTAACAAGGCCAACTATTTTTAAAAGTACACCTAAGTACACTCGGCGTCAAAGAAATCGCGAGAGTAACTTTAAGCCTCGTAGGCGCAGACCACCGATTTTTAGTTGGCCCATAGTTGGGCCCGATTGTAATTTGTATGAAGAATCGGCCGATACCCAATCGGTGAAATGTGCGCACTTTCATACATCTCCATACTGATTTTGCTGCCCGACTACACTATCGGCCGACAAAAAATCGGTGGTCTGCGCCTAAGCTAAAGATTTTCTTCTGACACGATCATGGTGCTCTACCATTATTGGCGTTATTTGAAAGGCCATTAAATAAACTTTAAGAAAAACACATTTTTTTTATAAACAAATTGATTTATCGATATCGAACTTCATGTCAAAAGCGACATGACGTACATCACTATTTTTACACACACACACACATGGGGGCGGTTGGCCGAAAATAGAATTTATTAGAAATTGTTAGCAAAATGGCAATCGCCATGGCAACCGCCGAAAACTTTGGAATGTTTTCGGCGCGAACACGTTTGTTGACTTCAAAAGTGACGTTTTCCCATATTTTTTTTATATAATAGCACTTACCGCTAAAAGGACGCCATTTTTCTTACTAGCGCTAACAATGCTATTTTCGCCCAAACGCCCTTAATTTCGTTTGACAATTTGATTGACAGTTTTGACAGCTTGGTTTTGTTGTTGTTGTGTTTGTCACAGACTCGTGGAGTTTGTGTTGTTGCTATTCGGAATTTTTTATCTCCAAGCTACACACAGATAGCGACACTTTAATTCTGTCTTCGGACTCAATTGTGTATTATCTTTGTGAGTGTCTCGACAATTTAATTTAAATGGATGAATTTCAATTTGATGAGATGGAGGTTGATACTGAGTTAGCAGAGGTAAGCAATACCTATTTATTTATTTTCTCATGGAAATATTATTATATGATATGTAAAAGGTTAAATTATTTGACTCTAATGCATTCATTATCTATTATTATCACCTAACACAGTTGTGATGTGTTTATATTTCAGTCCTATTTTGAGAAGAATAACTATCAGTTTCCAATGAACCAAGAGTCTGGTAAAAAATCTAACAAGGATGGATATGGTAATACTATTTTTTATGATGTTAACTGCTGTTTTGAGTTAGCAGAGTCACCATTATCGGGTAAGTTTCTCGAAATATATTGCAACTTGTAATTTGTAAGTGTGATGTGTGTGAACCATATTGTGAACATGCCTGTGATCTGAGGATATTGAATAATTTCCTGCATAATGGTAAAATGAGATTTTGATGACCTAGGCTTTTAATTACAGTAGAATCTCGATTATCCCGACTCATTCTTCACAGTTTCTAATTACCGATATAGGGTCTGAACCCATAAAAACGGAAGGCGCCGCCACCGTAACACGGTCCGGACTTCGTCTTAGTTCATTGTTAAAAGAAATGGATTCATCCAATGATCTAAAATTTAAATTTTTAGACTCTAAAAACTCTAAATGAAGTAGGTATTGAATACTCTTTCTATTGTAAAAACTTAATTTATTATTGTTTGATTTTACTTTGAAATCGACTATCCGGAACACCCCTGGTTTTAATTCATCCGGATAATCGGGATTCTACTGTAATAGCATTTCTCCTTCATTACAGTTCATATTTAAGTTATATTTTCAAAATCAATAATGTTTATTTTGTATTTGGGTACTTCAATACATGATATCTACTACTTATCTATAATTTAATCTTTTAGGTAGAGAGACAAATTTATACGAGTACTTGGATCAACTCAATGAAAAATTCAAAAGACTGGCAACAGAGGTAACAAAACATGCCGAAACTTTTTGTCAGATGGAGTACTTAATACGTAAAATTCCAGTGAATGAAGTACGAGACTATGACATAAGACTTATTGTGCAAAATTTTACATGCAACAGTTCAAAACAAACCAACCAATTTAGCGATTTCTTTCTTAACTATGGTAAGTTAACCGCTTCCTTGTTTTAGTAAAATTTTGTACCCTGCCTGTATCTAACTTACAGAATATCTATAAATAAGATATATTATTGTAATAAACAAACAGTTACAGTTCTTTTGATATGAAGGTACTTATTTTCGTTGACGAGTGAAAACCTTGTAAGTTGAATTTTTACCAAAAACACTTTAATTTAAAGTAAGAAAACCTCTCAACACACATTTCAAGCTCACCTATATTCGAATGGAATGATTGCAGTGCCACCTATTGTGTTCAATTAAAACCTCGTAAAAATATTCAAGAAAAGATGTTTCTCTCTCCTGAAAATGTTTGTTTATGGTACTCCCGAGGTTTTCACTCGTCAACGATGTTATATGGAAACTTTTCAGACATCTTAGATGTGGATACTAAATCTTGTATTACTATATTTTATAGACTACTTAACGATGGGTGAGAACACACCACTCGCGAAGCTTGGCTCCATAATGCAGCTGATGGGAAGGGGGGTGCGAGATATAGAAATTGTATGCACCAAAAATACCGCAGCCGTCTGTAGCTTGTTCAAAGAATTGTGTCACAGCGTTGGGTGAGTTATTGGACAGTAAACAGCTTCTTTTTTGTACCAGAAAATGCATAAAATTACATATCCACTAGAGCGTATTATGCCTCTCCACTAGAAGGCCCTACCTTCATCTTATTTTGATATAGGTACACTCGACGTAAAAAAAAACGCACCTCCCGCATCAAACACTTTCAAGCGTATGCAACCCCACTTTTCACCAATACTGGTATCATTTGAAAACCTAGTTCTAAGCTTTAGTTCATTAAAGGAAAGGTTGGTACCCCAAAAATATGCCTTTATAAGAGTTCCATGTTACTGCTTAAAGTGACAGGTGGTTACGCTTAAGCCAACTTTCATTGTTATAAAACGATTCAATTGGGGTAAATCGCTATCCAATCCAACTGATGAAGAGGACAACTGAGATCATTCTTTGGTTGTATGACCAAAAGTTGGCCTACGTAGCTGCCACATTGTGTGTACGTAGGAGCAACATTAGATTTTTTCAAGTCACATTTATTGTACTTGTTAGTCGTTTAAAAAAAAAAATCTGATTTAAGTTTTTTTACTGGGCTTTCAACGGGCACTAATATTGGTGGAGCACCATGTTTGTATTAGAGGACAATCTTCAAAATTATTGTGGCGGAAGGTGCGATTTATTGACGCCGAGTGTAGTTAAAATACTTAGTTTCTAATCGACCACCACTAGTACGGAATGTTTGAGAGTATATTGTGAGATAGTGGTTTCCTGTCAGCAACTAAAACTACTTCAGAGATTAAGGCCAAATTGAAAAGGTTATCAATAATAGTACTATCATTATTTGCCAGTTTGTGTTACAGTTTTTAGAACAATATTTCTTATATTTTAATGGTTATTATTATTTCACCATGTGTAACTCACATTAATAGAACAATTCTATTGAACAATAATGGATGCATATTTTCCTACTAGCTTTTGCTAGTCGCGTGAAATTTCGTTTGTCACGGATCATCATAAATTATAGTCTATATGTTATTCTGGGTTATAAACAATAATACTGTAAAGTTTCATTAAAATCCGTTCAGTAGTTTTTGCGCGAAAGAGTAACAAACATCCGGTCATCCAAACATTCGCATTTATAATATTAGTAGGATTGAATCTTGTCTGTTTATGATTTATATTGTAATACAAAAATTATGTTCATTATTTGCAGATTCGATAATATTTCTACAGTCTTTGTGGAGTCCGTTGATGAACTAGAGACAAAAAAAATCCCAATGAATATTTTATGTAAGTTATGTTAATTTGTTTTTCGTTCGGTCCAAGATAAATGGGACGAACAAAATTTATGAAATATTTATACTAAGAACTAAGAAGGGTGGATTCGACCAAACAAGAGTAAATATTAATCTCAGAACAAATCGTCAGTTTTGACATATTTCCCATACTGAAACTGTCAATGTGCCAGTTATACCCTGGTATAACTGGCACATTGACTCCTGAGTTATTCTAGGATAAAAGTTTGGTCGAATCGGGCCTAACTAAACTAAAGGATATTGGCCTCATAAGAAGGCTCAAGGTCACCCAAAGGGTCATCCGATGGCGGGCTCTCGGAGGTTACCTGCGTGATCGAATCAGAAATAAGGAGAGCCGCAAGAAAACCAAAGTATCCGCCATAACCCGCAGGATTGCTAAACATAAGTGGCTGTGGGCGGGACACATAGCTCGTAGAGCTGATGGCCGCTGGGGCATAAAAACTTAGAATATTCCTAATTCGTTAATTTAACACATAAAAGCTCATAACTCTGGTTGTTGTTTCAGCTGTGACCACGGGATGTATAGGAGTGGTGACCGAGGGTTGCGACATAGATTCCGCCATCGATACGTTCTTGAAGACTACCACTAGGGTAAAGCATATTGTTTGTTCTATACAGGGTGTCCCAAAAAGTAGTGTCAAGCCGAAGCCCAGAGGTCACTAGGGCTATCCAAATCACCCTTTTGTATGTTCCGCGATTATTGATAGTTTTCGAGTTACGATTGTTTTAAATTTCTGTGCTTAGGCACTTTTTTGGTCACTGAGGTGCGAATAGTCAAGTTACATGCGCGAATAGTCAAGTTTTTTATTGTTATTAGATGAATTCTAGGCCTAGCTTATTCAGAAGTATACCCATAAAACTAATGTAAACTAAAAACCTGTACGTTGTAAAAAAAACATAACTCGACATCTATCAAAAGTCACGGTGATTCGGGTAGCCCTAGTGATGCTCTACCTCTGGGCTTCGGCTTGACACTACTTTTTAGGACACCCTGTATAAGATTCCGCGATAACCTCTTGATAAAGTAACAGATTTGTAATGCGTCTTATGGATTTTCTTGTTGAAATTGAATCATACTTGGTCTACATGGACAAATCTCTACAGATAAACTATTATTTTAAAACATATTGCCAATATTAGGCGTTATTTTCGGAGTTCTACCCTAGAGCATGCTCAGCACACATGGTCCATTTAGCCAGGGCGCAGACCACCGATTTTTAGTTGGACCCGATTCTAATTTATATGAAGAATCGGCCGATACCAAAACGGTGTAGTGTGCGCACTTCCATACATGTTCATACTAATCAACAGGCCAACAGCCTGATTCAACTATCGGCCAACTAAAAGTCGGTGGTCTGCTCCTAGGCTCAAACAATTTTTCTTTATTATTTCTGATTCTCGCTATATGATAATGTGGTGTTTGTGTTATTCCAGTACCCATGGAAACTCAGTCGCGTTCTGGTGCAAGAGAGCGTATACGCGGGCTTCAAGAAAGCCTTCTCTTGGAAGGCTAGCCTCAAAGCAGACGGAGCTGATCAAATTCTCGCCCCAATAAAGCATCTCTGCGCAAACGCATTCCAGTACGACGACAAGACATTCCTTGTTGATTACGCGGGAAATCCCGAAGCCGTCGGGCCCATGGTTCCAATCGAAGCGTACAGGACTACCAAGGAACTGATATCGCTGGTGAAAAAGCACAGGGTTAAGTACTTGTCGCTGTGGGCTAGCGACATTGCACAAGCTAATGAGATCGCGTACAATGCTCCTTCTTCAGTCGTGTGGATCAACAGCTATGGTACCTTCGACGGCCCGGTGCAGGCTTCGCAAGCTATTTACGCAAACATGATAGACGACGATTATCTTGATGTCTTGGACGATTTACCAAATTGTGATGAGGTAATGGATCGGCAAGAGGTGTGGGCGAAGACGCCATTAGAAGATCGCCGCCGAATCGTCCTCGACCTCACGACTGGTTCAGATTTCCAAATGTTGAGGGACGCATTGCAAAGTTATGAAGGCGATAATTTCGTGCACGTCGACAAAGACCGCATGTGCGTTGGTTTGACAGAGCCACTAGAATTTGTATTAGTAGACGCAAGTTTTAAAAGTGTAGGTGTTTGGAATTTTGCTAGGATGTTATTGTGCGGCTCAGCATTGATATTGACAAGATGTCTTGAAGCCCCCTTCCATGATTACCTTGAAAGACTAGCGAGAGACAGTCAGAACATACCTATAATGTATAGTGAATGTTATTTTTCGACGCCTGAAGTTCGTGCTATATTACACAACACAAAAGTCATTTCGACAAACTTTGGTACAATATTTGCAAACTAAAGCAAGAAAACGAATTTTCATTCAAGAACAAAAGTCATGCGCCGTCATAAGAATGGCAATATTCATGGGTCGCCCGGCAGTCGATGCTGACGGTGCAGCAGGATGTACGATCGTGCTCGTACAATATTAATTAAAATTAATAGATTATTATTTAATGAATCGCGTTTCCTACTTTAAGTAATAAAGCGTTTCACTATATTTTTATACCTTATTAAGTTTTAAGAGTTATTGTAAACAAACAGATTTAGGTACATCATGTTATAAACCAAATGTTAGATAGTGCCATATGTTTTTGATACAAATATACCATTCCATTTTTAATTTTATTTTATTATTTAATAAGTATTATATTATATTCAGAAATCAAACAGATTTATCTAAAGGTGATCAAAGGAAACTGAAATAATAATTTAACTGGAGTCCTTTGATCACCCAGGTCATCTTGTCCATTGGATATGAAAGGACACCAAATTGTCGCTTGGAGTGAACTTTGATCACCTGGGTGATCAAAGCCAGGTAATCAAAGTGGAATAGACGAATAGACAGATAATATTAATAATAAATCAAACAGCATTTCTCATAGATGACCACAACTTCTGCACTAAGCTCGCAGGCTTGCATCGCAGTAGTTGTGTTGAGTGTTAGTGCTTCAAATCAAATTACGTTTATCTACTACAGTTCCGATTCTTTAACAGGTGACTAGACTAGAAGAATTTATATGATAACTAGCTTTCCGCCCGCGGCTTCGCCCGCGTGGAATTTTGTCTGTCACAGAAAAACTTTATCGCGCGCGTCCCTGTTTCAAAAACCGGGATAAAAACTATCCTATGTTCTTTCCCGGGACTCAAACTATCTCTATGCCAAATTTCATCAAAATCGGTTGCGAGGTTTAAGCGGGAAAGCGTAACAGACAGACAGACAGACAGACAGAGTTACTTTCGCATTTATAATATTAGTTGGGATTAGTTGGGATGATGAAGCCAATTTGATGTTAGGTATTTTATTTACATTTCGAGATACAAGCGAGAAAAGGAAAATCAAAATCGCTTCAGTCATTCAGGAGCTAATAATGCCCCAGACTGACAAGACAAGAAGAAGTCGCGATTAATAACGCGAAAACTGTTTTCGCGCATATTACCTTCGCGCTAGTGTCTTTCGCGCTCATGTCTTTTCGCGCAAGTGTCCATGCGCGTAAATGTCTTTCGCGCTAACGTCCATTCGCTCTAGTGTCTTTTCGCGCAAGTGTCCATACGCGCAAATGGCTTTCCGCGCAAGTGTACCAGAACCGCACCCGACACTTCTCCGCTCGATCCATTTCCACCGAAGCGGAGCGGAGTGGAGATGAGCAAATAATGGAATCTGATTGGTTATTAAAAAAAAACTTCTCTGCTTCGCTCCGCAAGTCCGCACCACTCCGCCTCGGTGGAGACCGGGCCTTATCGTTGGCGGCCAATTCTTTATTTACGATGTTGTACGTACAAAAAGTTCCTATGCCGATACACTGGCGATCACAGAGCGGTAAAAATAGGTCCTCTAAATGTCAGGCTTGACACTAACACCGTTCCAGTTTCGAAGACCAAACAAAAGAGTGTGTCACATTATTATGACGTTTATAAAAGTACAGTTTACAAATCGTGCGATTGTTTACGCTTTTCGTGTCTCCAAGAAAGTTGAGTAGCGTGAAACCAGTTAAATATGTGTCGAAATTAGTGAGTAAATATGAAGCCAGCAAATATGCGGAGCAAAAACCAGGTTTACAGTGTCGGCAACTACCTCATGACTGGCAAAGTACTGGGCAAGGGGCACTTCGCGCGTGTCGAGGAGGCCACGCACCGGATCATAGGCAAGAAGGTAGATTTCTAATGCCCTCAAGTCAAACCCTAATGTCCCAGATCATGCAATAAACGTGCGATTTCTAAATAAAGCTGGTCTGGTTAAATATAACTGACAAAACATTCCGATGTACAGGCAGAGGCCAAAGGATGATGGGCATATTGGGCGTTAAACCAACAGAAACAAAAAGTATACTAAATTAAAGCTTAATACTAGTACTTCATTTCATAGTATGACAACAACCCTGAAATACGCGGGGATACGGAGATAGAGGTCGTTGAATATGCAAAGTTTCCATAGTAGGGTCATTTCGCCTGTTCGCGTCCATCGCCCAATTCGCGTCCATTTTGCCGATCTCCTTTTAAAAATCCTCGAAAACAAGTCAACTAACACACCAATCAAACGAAAAGTCATTACCGCTAATACGTCAATGTATAAGAGGCACGCACACATAGACAAAAGTCCTGTGCGTCCAACCATTCCTGTTTAGAAAAATAGTTAGTCTCGGCTGTTCAACAAGGAAGCTCACACGCGCTGTATGTTTAGATAAAAATTAGTGTGCAGCGGCGTGTTTGATGGTAAGTTTTATATTGTTTTATGTGAATTTTAGGATAGATAGCTATTTTTACAGTTTAATGATGAAAAAAGGTATAATATTTATTATGAATTTGGTAATATTTTTTATATTTAACGAATAAAATAAGGTGGACGCGAATTACTACATCGATTTTACAAAACTTCCACTTTGCGTCCACAATGGACGCAAACTATACCTATCCTCTATAATAATAAACCAAATTGCGTCCACTGTTTTCGTTAAATACTTGCTTATAAATTTTTTTTAAAACATACTGTTTAATATTAATGTGTATAGGTAAGGTCATTTTAAGAATACAAGTTCGCCCATCTGACCCTAAGTGAGCTTCTTTTATTTTAATTGATATTTTTGTTTTTGTTTAATTTTTTCCAAAATTTGACCTAAAAACTGCCAAAAATTTTTTTTCGCGTGTTTTTATCCGCTTTTGTTATTTGATATTAATATCGAATATGTCTTTAGTCAAATACATTTAATTTCAGATCCAGATAATGATTGGATAGCTAGTTACGAGCCGCGAAAGTTTAACAAAGGTACAAACCACGATAAAAATTTGAACTTTGAATTCGATTTAAAAATTAAAGGTGATAGTAGATTGCCAATGATCTTAAAAACATCTCTAGCTTCTCTTCTTTCCAATGATATGTCACGTCATGTAGTAATTAGATATTGAAATTCGTCAAAAATTCAAAGTTTAGGGAAGAAAATGGAACAATAAGGGTGAATTTCAACAAGTGCATATTTTTGCCTAATTTTGGTGGAAATTGTTATTTGTGTATTTTTATTCTTTAATTATAGATCAAATTTATTGGAAACTTATACTGTTAAAAAAATGATTAAGACATTAAATTTTGTCCAGTAGTTTTTTAGATTTTCCTTACACCAAAATTAAGAGAACACCAAAATTTATATTAAAGCACCAAAATTAGAAAATATGCTGTCAGTCGGTCATATCTTAGTGCCAAGCTCAAGAAATGGTTTTAAATTTACCAGCACCGACTCCAAAAATATTAATCATGGTATATTGTCCTAATAAATAAATAACGACGTATTATTTTCTACTTTTAAGTGATTGTTGGCGTCGGTTTTAATTTTTTTGTTAAAATTATTTTTTTCATGCTTTTTAGTTGACTAGTCCTTGTTATTGTCACTGAAGAGGGACAGTACCTATGTTTAATGTGATTAAGACTATAATTTTCCATTTTGTAATGGAAAATTATAGTCTTAATCACAATCCAAGTGTAAATAATCTTCCTAGCAAAATACAGGCTCCCTACTTTAAATATCGGCAACTAAAAAGTATCAATGTATCATGTGTCAATGTATGTATCAACAAATGAGTATTGAGTATCATCTAACTCCTAACATCCCAACTAATCCCAACTAATATTATAAATGCGAAAGTAACTCTGTCTGTCTGTCTGTCTGTCTGTCTGTCTGTCTGTTACGCTTTCCCGCTTAAACCTCGCAACCGATTTTGATGAAATTTGGCATAGAGATAGTTTGAGTCCCGGGAAAGAACATAGGATAGTTTTTATCCCGGTTTTTGAAACAGGGACGCGCGCGATAAAGTTTTTCTGTGACAGACAAAATTCCACGCGGGCGAAGCCGCGGGCGGAAAGCTAGTTTAATTATAAAGTGTCAATCTGACGGATATGTAAACAATGCGCGCGCCGGCCATTGACTAATTGCTCTAAAGTCAAATTAGTGCGATTTGGAGTAATTTATATGAATACACATTTACGCCCGTTGACGGTTTCTGGTTTGTTCCGTTTTCTGAGGTTGTTGCACAACCGCCACAGATTGATAGCAATATAGCTGTTGTGCGGAAATAACTTGATGTTGTTTAAGGAGTTGCGAGTTTAATTTTTAGTGAAATGCACTATTGGGGCTTCAAAACTTGCCGCATTTCGAGCGAAATAGTGAATGAATATACCATGGAATATACCTACCTATATAAGTACCAACACACCTATTAAATCATTTTGTCCAAGCAACCTGATATCACTGTGTTTTAAACAGGATGTCTTAGTTTGACTGCAAGAGGAATGCATTACCTATATAAGAATTTTATTCTCAAGATTTAGATAACAATAGTCCCCCAAAGCCGCAAGGTAGGTAACTAGACGAAACGTTGACGCGAAGGTTTGCAGGTGGCGATCAAAATAATCGACTTGACGTGCATAAAGGAAGAGTACGCGCGTCGAAACCTGCACCGCGAGCCGAGAGTCATGGCCAAGCTGCGCCACCCATGCATCGCGGCGCTCTACGAAACTATGATGGTCAGTTATTAAAATTTCTTAGCGTTAAGCATCTCAAACTAAATTCGAAAAGCAATCGAACTGCCTAAGGCGGGAATCAAATCTACAACCTTTTGACGAAATGAAAAAAACAGTGCAGCGTGATTCTTCGGATTCTCTCAAGTAGTCCATATGAAGTCTCAGTAAAGCACCACAACTTTACCGAGACTCATGCCCGTTTTCACTACCAATCCCTAATTTTAAGTGACCCCTATGGTAACACTTAACAGGAATTTTATATTCATAGGAGTCACTTAAAAAAATTAGGGATTGATGGTCAAAACGGGCATCAAATAGTGGAAAGAGGTATCATCTATCATCCTTCATTAAATCATTACCTACTTGGTCCCATTTTGTAACTCGTCTCACTTAAAACTTGAAAATGGTTCTATATTGGCTCACATAAAATTCTAAATCCTATTCTTTGTCTTACTACCGATTTGTGTTCATAATAATCTCTCTTCATAATTTTATTTTTCATACTGTTTTTATTCATACATTTTTATTACTACCATCGGAGGTCATAACAGTTAGTAATCATATTTTTTTTATCAATACTGTTACTACCAAGAACCATTTAAAATACATAATTTTTATTTTCAGATCTTTTTTCTTCATAACATTCATTGATCATATTGTTTTAATTAATAATGTTGTTACTAAGAACATACTTCAACTCCTAATGTTGTTGTTCAGAATAATTTACTTTATAACAGACATACTCGTATCTTTAAAAAAATCATATATAATTTAATAGAGTAGATAAGCATGCAGAGCATGCAGCATGAAAGCAACCATGCAGCATGCATTGGTATCTCCTCGTCTCCGGCGCTGCGGGATGTGCAGCCCTTCCGCCCTTGCGTAACGAGGCTCAGGCACCCACGCTAGCTTCCGCAGCTTCGGCTTTTTGGATCGCCATCGGCGCCTTCGGCGCCTCGGCGACCAGCCTCAGCCGCTCCAGCTCACCCGGGCGCCTGAGCCTCGTTACAGCGGGCGAGGGCTGCCCTCCCTCCGCGCCTCCGGCTTTTAAATTACACTCTAGGGGTAGGGCAGACAAGACTACGTGGAGTCGGTTTTGCAGCGATTCGTTTCTATCACGTTAGTTTTGTGGCACAAAATATTGCCTGTTTTGGACCATTTCAAATTAATTTAATGTTAAAATACGATTTAATACGAATATAGACATCATGATTTTTTAATAATATGGATAAATACACTTATGAGTAATAAATTTATGACAACAAATATTAGGATACATCACATTTATGAATATTATAGTTATTTATTCGAATGATTATGAGTTTCGATCATTATTATAGAAAAATATATGAAAACAAATATTAGTAAAAACTAAGTGTATGATTAGTGATATTATGAATATCAATGATTATGTGTTTAAATATGTAGGTTTTAAATTTTTTATGAAGAATGATCATTATGGTATCAAATTGTATGAGAAATATTTTCGGACCTCCAATGATAGGAATTGAAAAGTTATGTAAGAAAATGCGCTACCGTTAAAAATGGCACAAATCAAGTCGACCTCGACGTGTAGACGATCATCACACTGCACCGCGGTCCGCGTGGCTACATAATTATTATTATAAAGAATACCGCGCGCAGACGCGTTTTCAGTGTGTTGTGCCGCGCGTGTTTTCTATACAAATTGAGGTACTTGCATATAATGATTAAATCTGTCGTCCCGCGTACCGCGGCGGGAGCGCGGTGCAGTGTGATAATCGCCGTATTGCCAACATCAAAAAGAATAAAATATTATGTTTGATTGCAGCACGGGCCGCGTCTGTACGTGGTGATGGAAGCGGCGGGCGGCGGCGACCTGTGCGCGCTTGTTTTAGCGGCGCGCGGGCCGCGGGGCGCGCGCGGGCTGCCCGAGGCACGCGCGCGCGCGCTCGCCGCCCAGCTCGTGTCCGCCGTGCGGCACATGCACGCGCGCGGCGTCGTGCACCGGTGAGCTGGCTTGTTCTTAGGCAGGGTACTCACCTGTAGGCCTAAGATGAGCGCCGTGATAAGCGGTTATCACGCCATTTTATCGATTTTGCCCATACAAATTGACGTCGATAAAAGTTATCACGGCGCGCATCTTAGGCCTACAGGAATGTTTTTAGAATCGCGCTGACCGCTCGCTGATCGTCGGCGCTGACAAATCAAAATGTATGTAATTGAAGGGAACGTTCCTGAGTGACGCTGATCGCTCGGCGCCGACGCTCCATGCATTTCGTCTATCAGCGCTGACGGTCAGCGTGCGTCAGCGTGATTCTAAAACCAGCCTTATGGAGGCGGCGGGCGGCGGCGACCTGTGCGCGCTTATTTTAGCGGGGCGCGCGTCCGGTCGCCAAGCAGATAGAATTTCGTCCAATGACCTGTGTGACGCGCGCTCGCCGCGCAGCTGGTGTCCGCCGTGCGACACATGCACGCGCGGCGTCGTGTACTGGTGAGCAGGCTTGTTCCAGGCAGGGTACTCACCAGGAATGTTATGGATATCCGTAACCGTAAACGAAACTTTCGGATATCCGAAAAAAACCGAAACCGGTATAGTATTATTCCTATATCCGTAACCGTATCCATAACCGCAACTACATATCCATAACATCCCTAGTACTCACCTGCCATATAGCACGTAACGTAGCATGTAACGTAACCAACCTTCAAGTGAGTACGGCTCGTCCACGGTTATCGCATATCTGGCTCTGAGCTCCTGGATCCTACTGCGAGCCGCCTTTGTGCTCGCAGTGATACCGCCACTCGGCGGGTCGCTGCGATCTCCCTGCGAACCACGGGCATGCGGGCAGCGCAGGACCGTTCACTGTGGAAAACCTTGGAGGAGGCCTTTGTCCAGCAGTGGACGTAATTTGGCTGAAACGAACTCTGGGCACGTGCACAGGACCCCCCTGTCTGTTCTCCTAAAAGATCTTTCTCCAGATCCAGAACTTTGCCTCCTTTGATCCTTATGTGCCCAGGGCAGGGCCCCTAGTACGTTAAAGACGGCCCCGATTAAAGTCGTTGGACGTTAACACAGTTTCTTGACCCCTATTTTTGATATATATTTTTTTTACAGGGACCTAAAAATGGAGAATATTATGCTGGATACCAGTAAACAGTTTATCAAGATCGTAGGTAATGTTCTTATTAATTCAATACCTACAAAATTTTCATATTCAACACAGTTAATTAATTGGTGAAATCCAAGCTGCAGTAATCATTCCACCCCGCTCTCCCCTGCCCCCTCGATACCCATGTTAAGCTTCAACCACACCAAAAACAAATGCCCTCACTAGTGAGCGCGTTAAAAATGTATGAAAAATTTGTGTTCTTGAAAGTTTCCGCTAGGGGCGCTGTACAATCCGTCATACATTTAATGTCATTTATTCACACTCGGCCCTGAGGTCGCGCGACCTGTCATTGCTCGCGCGTCCTGTCCTGACCTATGATCGCGCCGGCGATGGCGGTCTGCATGCGTTGGTATGATTGAAGCCGTAGAAGGATATTTGAAACTGACGTATGACGCATTTTCATTAGTCGATAACTCGTTCGGTATACAGCATGCGGGGATTCCCCGCATGCATTATTGGCTCCGTGCACGATTACAGCGCCAACTAGCGTCCACGACTTTGTGGGCTCTGTCACATTGACATTTAGGTCGTATATTTGTGAAAAAATATCGAAATGAAAAAATAACAAATATTTTCAACTAATAAATTGTTGTGATACCACGATTTGGGTGGAAAAAAGGTTTTGAAATCATTTTGGTCATTCAAATCAAATGAGGCAAGTCCAAAAAGTGTGTTTAATTTTGATTGTGTCAGGGTTTGTTTACTTCATTTATAGTTGTAGTTTTACAGTAAAACAAAAAGAAAAAGCTACTTTAACGGTTTCATTATATAACAGTCAATATATTTAAATGTTTCTGTATCGCTAGTAATAAATTAAATATCGTTTTCAGATCGAAATGAGTATCGTTTTGAAGACCGGGTTTGTGAGAGTTACAATATCAAATTCCAACCACAAACCGTATTTAAAGGAAAGTTGTTGGTATTGGCTGGACAAGTCCGAGATGTAGAAGAATTAAGAACAAAACAAGGGCAGAGTTCAATAATTCACGCTCTCATCATAAGGCAAACATCTGTGCACAACAACTACTGTGACTCATTTTTGTACTACCACGTTGTATAGTTTAGTTATTTCCAAATTGTAAACGGCTATTAAAACAGCCCTATCGAAATACAGTCCACTCTTTTATTTAAGTTCCCAGTAGGACCCTTTTCATGCGATTAATTAATGATATTAAAATGTATTATGTAGAATCGCTTTGCCATTGACAGATACATCTGATGACAGAGCTAACATTATTTCTACTTTTGACCACCATGAGCGCTGCGATAGATTATGTCCCCCCCACCTAGTACTTCGCACCCAGCGAATACCGACCGTGCTATCGACCAATGAAATTCATCATTCAGATTTTCTGATGCGCCATGCCTGTTTCTATTTTTTAGTAAACTTCGCACCCTGGCCCCGTGGTACGCGTTCCAGAAATCTCTCGCACTCCGCATGCGGACCCTATCGACGAATGAAAACAGTTCCCCGAATGCGGGCCCTGTGGCATGCGTACCAGAAATCTCCCGCACGCCGCATGCGCACCCTATCGACTAGTGAAATTGCACCATTAGTGACGTAAGCGATGACGTGTGCAGATTTCGGGCTGTCAAACGTGTGGAGCGCGGGCGGCGCGCTGCGGACGCCGTGCGGCTCCCTGGAGTACGCCGCGCCCGAGCTGTTTGTGGACGGCCGCCGCTACGGGCCCGAGGTGGACCTGTGGAGCATGTGAGTGCGCCGTGTTTAGGGTTCCGTAGCCAAATGGCAAAAAACGGAACCCTTATAGATTCGTCATGTCTGTCGGATAATGCCTGGATGCGAGCGGTGCAGTATCGGTCTTCGTGGAAATCCTTGTGGGATGCCTTTGTCCAGCAGTGGACGTCTTTCGGCTGAAACGAACGAACGAATGCCGCGACGATCAGCCCCTGTAGAGTAGCGACATTTTGTTCGACGTTTCTTTTTTCGTACTTGATAATTTCGACGTATACGTATTGGCGCGCTCACATACAAACCGCGCTCGGTGCATTTCTATGAAGATGACCTACTCATTTGTATTTACTCTGCTTTTACCGTCGGATAATGCTGCGACGGTCAGCCTCCGTAGACAGTAGCGACAACATTGGACGTTTTATTTTGTACTTGAAAATTTCGACGTTTTCATCCAGTGCATTGGACGTTTTATTTTGTACTTGAAAATTTCGACGTTTTCATCCAGTGTCTAAGGCCCGGCTTTCACCAAGGCGGAGAAGAGCGGAGCGGTGCGGTGTTTCATAGATAGCAATAGATTGACAGCTACGCACATCTCGCACATCTCTCGTCTCCGCACCGTTCCGCTCCGCTTTGGTGGAAATAGCCTGCCAGCTTCGCTGCACATCTTTCGTCTCCGCACTGCTCCGCCTTGGTGGAAACCGGGCCTAAGTAACTCAGATGGAAGAGCAGTCACCCGGCAAGCGTAAGGTCGTGGGTTCGATTCCGACGATCGAGATTGATCGAGTGTGGCACGTAGTGACCACTAGTGAAGAGTCGCGGACACTACTGTAGCGAGTGGCCGCCATCGAATACACGTGTGCGGCGCGTCTATACAAAAATATTAAAAAGTGTGTTAATAGCGTTGGCTATGGTCTGTGGCCCATTTGCGCCGAGCCTTAAGTACGATGACCATTGAACGGCGCGCGGCGGAGCGCACTAACACGGCCGTAAAGAAAATAGTATTTTATTACCAGTTCTTAGAGTCGTAATTGCTTACAACTGATTAACTGACATTTCAATCCGGACGGATGCGCGAGCATGCGTCGGAAGCCGGTCGGCTCCGAGCGTATTCCAGCGGATACGCGCGCATTCCACCGCATTTTTACGCTGCGCTGCGGAGGCTTCCGGCGACTGGGACCGCAATTAACTGGGACCGCGGTCCCAGTCGCCGGATTCTTAAAAATTAAATAATATTTCTCCGGCAACTGGGACCACTCGTAAATGATAACTGAAATAAAAATGTACAGTCACACGAAAATTTTTTAGGTGAAATAATTGAAGAAAAATCCTTTTTAATTTAAAAACATCATTTATTAATATAAAATATTATACGCCATAGCTTGGTTATACTGATTTAATAAAAAATTCAGTCGTTTGATTTATAGAACTTATAGTAGATTTATAGTGCATTTATAGTAGATTCTAAGGGGAAAAATTATAAGCATTAAAATATGTTGTACTACATGAATGAAATTCAGTTAATAATAATTTACTGCTAGAAAATGCTTTAAAGTATTCAGTCCAATATTAGTATTTGTATTAATGTATGTAAAAAATAGCCTAGCTTAATCTACTTATTGCTAAGCGCATAGTTTAAAATCATGTCTAGAACGAGTCAATGATAATTCATATAAATAATTTATTTTTTTTTTTCGTATGACTGTACTGATTTTGGCTTGAATAATATATTTTTCAAAGTTATCTATGAGTGGTCCCAGTTGCCGGAAGAAAATTATTTATTTTTTACGGATCCGGCGACTGGGACCGCGGTCCCAGTTAATTGCGGTCCCAGTCGCCGGAAGCCTCCGCTGCGCGCCGACTCGCGCCGGTCAATGGGAATCCTGCCTTAGGCAGTTGGATTTCTTCAAGTAGTTTGAAATGGAGACATTATCATGCCTGCAGAGGCGTGATCGTGTACGGCATGGTGACGGGCGGGCTGCCGTTCTCGGGCGCCGACGCGGGCGCCGCCGAGGGCCGCTCGCGCCCGCTGCTTCGAGCCGCCATCGCGCGCGGGTTCACGTGCAAGCAGAAGGCCGCGCTGGCCTGCGTCTCACCAGGTACGAGGCTAAGTGCCGTCCTAAGGCACCCCGTGGTACCCCACAGCACGGTAATAGTATCTATACAGTATTCCAACTCGGCCATACTTTTGAAATAAATGTCAACAGCCGCGCGGTACGTCACCGTATGACAACATGCGATAGGGCTGCCCACCTGCAGACCTTATTTTCATTACATCTGCCTACTTAGAATTTCTATCTAGTTTTGTGAATGTATTTTGTGATTGTAACTTTTTATTTTAATTTGACAAACAAAATAATTTTTGAATGAAATAGGATAAAAATGCATGTTGTCTTGTCATTAGTAGATTTAATAAAAAAAATACATTTGTGTTAAGATTTAGTAACAAATCTTATTTTGCGACCGTAAAGTGTAAGCGCCTCGACTGAGGCGTACAAAATGCTTGATTATTATAAGTACTGGGTGTTAGGTAAATGGGTTTATAAGCGGACAGTAGCCCATGTTAACATGTGGTGCATATTTATATACCATTTATATGCCCATGTTAACATGGGCTACTGGGTGAAGTCAGAAAATTGATATTCATTTTAAAATAATTTTAATTTTCATGCAAATCTGATTTTATAAAATTTTGTATGAAAATTAAAAAAAAAAACGATATCACTGACTTCACCATACTATTTACATGCATAAATGTTAACATGGGCTAGTGTCGGCTTATAAACCCATTTACCTAACACCCTGTATGAATATGTAGTTACTTATAATCTTTTTTTTATAAAAAACACTTAAATACTGTTTAAAAAAACAACACATCGTCCGTTTATTACTGTGGCACATTCGCGACACCCCCGACTTTTGCATGTCGCGCGCATACCGAGATTTGAATTTCGAAGGAAAGCTCGCGGTTCGTCCGTTTATATGAAGTTACAATACTGTATGATAGTATTACCGTGCCCACAGGATTCAGGATTTTAGGGTTACCTACCGATTCGAGATTGAAAGGCAATCGCACCCCTAATGACATACACCGCAGACTTGTCACCCTCTGATGCTTGGCACCCGGAGCGAACCGCCCCCTTACGCCGCTACTTGCTATGCCCATCTGCCATACTCCTGTGTAGCCAGGATCTACAGCTTGACCGCCAATAAAAACCCTTTGTTGCCGTCAAGTCACACTATTTTGTGTAACACTGTAACCCATTGGTAAAAAAATACCGATTAGTAACACTGTTTTTTTTTAACTTTGAGTAATAACGTTACTCAACAAAACACTGTGTTCCCGTTAAGTAACACATTCTTGTGTAAAATCATTGTGAAGTGAACCAGTGACTGTGAAGGTCAAGTTTTTCTCGGGAAAAGTCAGCGAATACGTTGCGGACGCGCACACGTAGCCGCTCCGCTTTGAAAACGCTTGTAATCCGCCAGTGTGGCAGGCCCTAAACTGTCATTGGACCCGCAACAAAATTAATCAGAAGAACATAGGAGTTCGAAGTTATCGACTTCCCACTAGTGCAAAGCGGATGACAAACAAAGGATTAGTCTCTCCGTACGCTTGTTTTATTTATTACGATAAATGATGACAAAACTGAACCATTTTGTCTCATATTACTGTTGTAAACTGTCATAACTTGAATATTTAACCTGTTTTGAGACAAATATTTACTAGGTATTATATCTTATCTATCCTACTACTATTATAAATGCGAAAGTTTGGATGTCTGGATGTTTGTTACTCTTTCACGCAAAAACTACAGAACGGATTTTGATGAAACTTTACAGTATTATTGTTTATAACCCAAAATAACATATATGACGATCTGTCACAAACTAAATTTCACGCGGGTGAAACCGCGGGCAAAAGCTAGTTTATCCATAAATTCTGTTTCCAGCTTCCATACATTTAACATAACTGGAGAATTGACATCATAATAAGTGTGTTAACATTCGCATGCATTACTCGTTGCATAATTCGATGACCGTTTGAAACCACAATACATTTTTCAAGGCTTTATTAAATTAGCATAAAAACTTACAAAAAATATTCACATTTTATCGACCAATTTACATACTTAATTAAAATAATTTGCGTGATGTTTACAGTCAACAATAACGGATGTAACTCACACATCTTACCATAATATTCATAAACTCCCCACACTCGTAACAAAGGTAATTCGGTTCCAATAGTAAAGCCCGGTCACCGAGCACGTAGAATTTCGTCCAATGACCCCAAGCTATCCATCCTTATCGCTCGCACGTAATTATGTTGCTGTCGCGCTCGCACAGTCGTGACAGCAATATAATTACGCGCGAGCGATAAGGATGGGTAGCTTGGGGTCATTGGCCAACATTCTACGTGCTCGGCGACCGGACTATAGAACAATTTGTATGCAAGAGAATGATAGCTCCGCTGCCCATCTGGCGCTAAGTATTTATATTAGTTCTAAATGACACTAGTGCAATTAATTTTATTGGAAAATTGACAGTTCCAGCACTGTCCTGTGAAACCTTTTAAAGTCACGGTCTGCTAGTTCAGAAGCTATGGGACTGGCCTCGAGCACCGCACACCTAGACCCCACAGCGGGTTGATGGACGGAGGCGCCTTCTGCGTGCTTCCTGAAAAAAAAAGTTAATGTTAGATAGAATATTGATTGTGTTCTAGTGTATGTTTTGTTGGTTGTCCTATTAAATAAATAAAATAAATTTATTACAATGAAGCGACGCTACGTAGACAGACCATCAAGACACACTGTCAAAAGTTTATTCCCTTTGTCTCCACCACGCTTGTCATCACTGGTGGGATAATTATTTAATTAAATAAACTTATTTCGCCGGGTCTCCTTTTAGGTTTAAGCCCGGTTTCCACCAAGGCAGAGCCGAGAAGTGTTTGGCCGTCAATTTTTTCTATAGAATGTGACATTTGCGCCGGCGCAGCGCGGAGCGGAGAGAAGTGGAAATAATTAAATCTCTGGTTATTCAAAACATTTCTCCGCTCTCCTCCACCTTTGTGGAAACTCGGCCTTATGGGTCCATTAGGAACTTAGGACTGAACGTAAAAATACGCGCTTTGTATTCAGAGTGCAAGACTTTCATCCAGCACCTGCTCGAACCGAACGTGGAGCTACGGATGAAGATCGAGGAGGCGGCGCGGCACCGCTGGGTGCGGCGACCCGGCATGCGTATGAAGGCGCACCCGCTAGGCTGTGTGGACCCCAAGGCCAACAGGGAGGTACGCTCGCACCTGCTACCTCGCTCGCACCTGCCACCTGGCTCGCATCTGCCACCTGGCTCGCACCTGCCACCTCGCTCGCACCTGCCACCTGACTCGCGCACCACTAGAGCCCAATAGATCAAAAGGTGGCGCCACCGCTGGTTGCGGCGTCCGGGCATGAGTATGAAGGCGCACCCGCTAGGCTGCGTGGACCCCAAGGCCAACAGGGAGGTACGCTCGCACCTGCCACCTGGCTCGCACCTGCCACCTCGCTCGCACCTGTCACCTCGCTCGCACCTGCCACCTCGCTCGCACCTGCCACCTCACTCGCGCACCACTAGAGCCCAATAGATCAAAAGGTGGCGCCACCGCTGGTTGCGGCGTCCGGGCATGAGTATGAAGGCGCACCCGCTAGGCTGCGTGGACCCCAAGGCCAACAGGGAGGTACGCTCGCACCTGCCACCTCGCTCGCACCTGCCACCTGGCTCGCACCTGCCACCTCACTCGCACCTGCCACCTCACGCGCGCACCGCTAGAGCCCAATAGATCAAAAGGTGGCGCCACCGCTGGGTGCGGCGTCCCGGCATGCGCATGAAGGCGCACCCGCTTGGCTGCGTGGACCCCAAGGCCAACAGGGAGGTACGCTCGCACCTGCCACCTGGCTCGCACCTGCCACCTGGCCCGCACCTGCCACCTCGCTCGCACTTGCCACCTCGCTCGCACCTGCCACCTCGCTCGCACTTGCCACCTCGCTCGCACCTGCCACCTCGCTCGCACCTGCCACCTCGCTCGCACCTGCCACCTCGCTCGCACCTGCCACCTCACTCGCGCACCGCTAGAGCCCAATAGATCGAGAGGTGGTGCCACCGTTAGCTGGAAGCGGCGTTCTGGCATGTGCATGAAGGCGCACCCGCTTGGCTGCGTGGACCCCAAGGCCAACAGGGAGGTACGCTTGCACCTGCCACCTCATGCTTCGACCACACCAATGCGTACTTATGACAGTTCACGCGACCTGTCATTTTTCTTTGACCACGCCGGCGATGGCGACCTGCACGCGTTGGTGTGGTTGAAGCTTCACTCGCAACCTGTCACCATCCCTAGAGCCCAATAGATGGAGGTGGCGCCACCGCTAGCTGTGGGGACCCCAAAGTTAGGGTCGTACCTCGCAACACCACTCTCGCGCATAACCAATGCCAAATAGAGATAGTCACCTAACCGGCTCAGTCCTCATTCGGCTTTTTCCACTAATCCCCGTTGACAATCTCCGTCAACGGGGATGAGAGATTAGTGTACTTTTTGTTCTTTGGGGGAATAGTGGAATAAGCCCAATTTCCAGCTAGTAAATGCCCTTTCGAAGAAACATCAACCAGCTAGAGGCGATATTGTCACGTCATTTTGATTCTTATATCCTTTACTTAAGGTACACAAATCTTGAAAAGAAAATCTATCAGCTATGCAATTACATTCTGAAATTGATTTCACTTTACATACTTTGCAGATATACAGACAAATATCCGAGCTGTGCGGCCAGACAGTCATGGACATTGTGGCACAGATCAAAGCGGACCCGTTCGGCTGTGTGGCTGGCATCTACAACATCAAGACCCACCTGCACCAGATGCAGGCCGTGCCCGGCGCTGAACTGCTGTGGTCTTCCAACACACAGGTACGTGGGGCACCTTGAAAGGCTATAATTAATTGACTATGAACCGGTCATTGCTATGAATACAAAGCGCCCGGGGAAAGGAGCCCAGAGCAAGTACCCACGCGAGATTCGGTCTCCCGAGATTCGGTTCGTACGCCGTGAGGCACGAAAAACGTGAACGTGAAGAAAATGTGGCCATCCGTCCGGGTTTCCCTGGATTTGTCCTAGTTTAGAGGGCTTCCAGGGAGCGTCCGGGCGGGGTTTTATTTGTTGTCCGAGTATAAAAACCTTAGGTCTTGGGTCAATGCAGGGCGATGCGACTAAGTTTTATAAAAAACCTGTAGACATATCCAGGTTCTGGGTTCTAAAATCACACAACATATTTAGCTTATGCGAGGGGCTAACGGGACTAACGCCCGTATTCACAAACTTTACTATGAGGTCTCACGGTGCGCGTGGACGCACAAGGTGACATACGAACCAATCGCAAAGCTCTATTCAACGCTGTGCGTTCCATTTACGCTTCACTTAAGCAAATATCGTTTGTGAATACGGGCGTTAAAGTCCGGTCGCCAAGCAAATAGAATTTCGTCCAATGACGCCAAGCTACCCATCTTTATCGCTCGCGCGTAATTATACAGGGTGTTTGGCGCATCGTGTGCCAAAATGATTTGGCGGATAGAATGGGTCATTTCCTATATTTTCAGCCCCCATAACACGTTCCATGTCAGGCGGCTACTTTTATATTAAGTTTTTTAGTAATTTCACCAAAATACCCAAATCGCATCATTTAATTTCGATTTAAAAAAAAACTACTTAGCGTAGCCTCAAAGTAAATATTTTGTTTTGACGTGCATTGATATAGGGTTGCATCAAATCTAAATTTACTGGCAAATATCATCTAGTTTTTTTTTAATTCAGCTTTGAACTTTTCCGAAAAGTTAAAAATGGACTGAACATTTAAGTTTACATGGCTATAAAATTTTTTTTAAAAGAGATAGCGATCTTCGGATTTTATCAAAACTTCTCTAGTCTATCCCCATTCAAACGGTATACTAATCTTGTTTAAATAATAACAACAACTTCACAAATTCCCTAAATTAGTGCATTGACTCTATTCGGACTGATTTGCGAAATTTGTGTTTATAGCCCCTTTTTGTGTGAATAACACGTTAAATACCTACAGGTAAAAAATATTTATCTTATGCAATGTAAAAAACCTTTTCTCTATCGTTTTTCAATGTGGATTTCTTGAAATTAAAGACGAAAATAATTATTTTGATCGTTTATTAATTATTACAAATTTTGTTCAAAATGTCCGCCTCGGCAACGTATACACTAAGTAACGACATCTTCTTCTAATTTAGACTGGCCCTATACAGTGGCCTGCACGTTCCCCAGACCTAACTCCGTTAGATTTTTACGTCTGGGGACGAGGTAATGAACTGGTGTACGTAACGGAAGTTCAAACATTAGAAGAACTACAACAACGAATAGAAAACGCCTTTATAGTAATAAAAAGAGAAATGAGGCTGCATACGACAACAGTCGAAGATGTCGTGAGTGTATACGTTGCCGAGGCGGACATTTTGAACAAAATTTGTAATAATTAATAAACGATCAAAATAATTATTTTCGTCTTTAATTTCAAGAAATCCACATTGAAAAACGATAGAGAAAAGGTTTTTTACATTGCATAAGATAAATATTTTTTACCTGTAGGTATTTAACGTGTTATTCACACAAAAAGGGGCTATAAACACAAATTTCGCAAATCAGTCCGAATAGAGTCAATGCACTAATTTAGGGAATTTGTGAAGTTGTTGTTATTATTTAAACAAGATTAGTATACCGTTTGAATGGGGATAGACTAGAGAAGTTTTGATAAAATCCGAAGATCGCTATCTCTTTTAAAAAAAATTTTATAGCCATGTAAACTTAAATGTTCAGTCCATTTTTAACTTTTCGGAAAAGTTCAAAGCTGAATTTAAAAAAAACTAGATGATATTTGCCAGTAAATTTAGATTTGATGCAACCCTATATCAATGCACGTCAAAACAAAATATTTACTTTGAGGCTACGCTTAGTAGTTTTTTTTTAAATCGAAATTAAATGATGCGATTTGGGTATTTTGGTGAAATTACTAAAAAACTTAATATAAAAGTAGCCGCCTGACATGGAACGTGTTATGGGGGCTGAAAATATAGGAAATGACCCATTCTATCCGCCCAATCATTTTGGCACACGATGCGCCAAACACCCTGTATTGCTGTCGCGACTGTGCGACGAGCGGCCGCAGTGAGCCTACGAGCGCCAAATTACTAATATTTTTTTAAAGAAAAGTAAACCCTAATGCAGTTGTAATATCTGCTATTTTGTACAGGAGCCTCGCCCGCTGTCTCCTCCCGAGTACCACGCCAAGTACGAGGCGGAGGCGAGCGAGGCCGCGTCCTGCAGCAAGATATTCACGCCGCTGGCCAGTCTGCCCAACAAGAGCCAGTTCAAGCCGCGACAGCCCACCCCGCCCAACGATGTACAGGTATCACACTAAAGCCCGGTCTGTGAGCACGTAGAATTTTGTCCAATGACCCCAAGCTACCCATCCTTATCGCTCGCGCGCATCGTTTTTATACCTATCGTTTTTATACTTAATCTATCTATCTATCTATGGCTATCGTTTTTATACTTAACAGTTGGCACCCCTGGCGATTGACAGGACCTTACTCTACAGTGGCGCCATCTTGATGAGTGCAAATGCGATAGTCTTCCTACCACTTTAGCGCTCACCAGTTGGTGCCACTGTCTTCGCGACTAGCAAGTGACAGGACCTTACTCTACAGTGGCGCTAACTGGTGAGCGCTAAAACGATAGCCCTCATTATGTTGCTATCGCGCTCGCACACTCACTGCGGGTGCCAGTCGCACAGTCGCGACAGCAATATAATTACGCGCGAGCGATAAGGATGGGTAGCTTGGGGTCATTGGACAAAATTCTACGTGCTCACAGATCGGGCTTTTACCACATGTTATTTGATGTAAATATTTTATTTGTTGCCTTGCGCATACCCACTGGTTGATGGGGACGGACAGTGAGTTATGTGGGACTCTCCCCGGCTACTCACTAAAGGCGGGGTCTTTTGCTGCTCACTTAAGCAAGCATCGATTGTGAATACGGACGTTAAATGTATTTTATACTTAGTATTTTTTTTAACGAAATCTCTGTCTTATTGATATTATAAGTAGTGTCCGACCGAATATGGATTTTCAGCCGAAAACGGAAACGAAAACGAAGCTTCGGCTGCAGTCTCATTTTCGGCCGAAAACGAAAACGAAAACGAAAATGACCTTCAACTCTCTCAATCTGAAATTATGTAAAAACTTCGAAAACCGTTAATGTTTTGAACAAAAACATAATGACGTTTGACAGTTGTTTTTGATAAGGATTGATTAAAGAAAACCGGCATTAAAACACAAAAAAATGAATTATGAATTCTTAGTAGAATATTATTTCCGGTGTATATTGAAATATTGGGAAGTGAAGAAGAAATAAAGGGTGTCCAGTGGGAATTTTTCAACTTCAAAAATGATTCATACAAATAAATTAATGATTTTTTATTATTTATTACTATTAATGCAAACTGGAGTTTAACAATGCGGATTTATTTTTTTATAGGCAATGTCTTTTAAATGATGCCTGTTTTACTATAAGCACTCTCACAGCCGGACCCTTACATTCGCAACTATGCGAAAGCAAATCGCGCTAATAATTTTCCTGCAACTTCACGGCGGATATTTTCTTACAGAACCTGAATTATTTAAGGACTGTTTGCCGTAAACTTTTGACTTGAGATATCCCCACAAGAAAAAGTCGCATGGTGTGAGATCTGGTGACCGAGGCGGCTAGAAAAAAATAGTCCTCAGTGTCTCCATCGAGGTACTCTCCGTGTGTGGTGAGACACCTTCTTGCTGAAATAGTAGTTGGCCGGGATGCAGTTGCAGTTGTGGTATCAGACATTCATCGATCATTCGACAATACATTTCAAATACTTATTGCTCAACTGCGAACGCTCTGTAGGCTCCCGACCAGTGTAGACTCATGGCGTATTTCAAATCCGCATTAGACTCTATAAACTCTTTGGTTTTATTTGTATTCAATTTTGAACTTGGAAAAATTTCACTGGATTACAACGTAACCTCACTTCAAAACTTCAAAAGAGTGTGACAATACCTCGTCCGTTCAAGTCTGATTGGAACCATGAGTGCATCAGATTCACTCCCGAAGATATCGGAACGATAAACGTCCCTATCTTATTCACGTATTTCTGATATTCGGTTTGGCCGAAGCTTCGGCTGGTTTTTGGCCGAAAACGAAAATATGGCCGAATGTCCATTTTTTGGCCGAAAATGGCCGAAAACGAAAACGAATATTCGGTCGGTCACTAATTATAAGTACCTTCATAATGTGTAAATGTCAGAATTGTATGGTTGTCCAACGTGGCAGAAATCGGAACTAATAATCCAGTATTTGATAGTAAAGCATTGTTCACAAGAACACAAGTTTTTTGTTATTGTTATAAGATTTTATTATTTGTAATTTTGCAGTAGGTAATCTGTGTGTTTTAGTTTTGACACTTACGCGTCCAGTGCCCCAAAGGTCCTTGCAGAAAACTAGTATTGTGGCACATTTAATGTCACGACTAATGCTGAGCCAGGGACCTTTTTGGCACAGGGCGCTCAAAGCTAGTTCAATTTAGTTGGGATAAGGTTTCTTTTTTTTTTTCATTTATGTATGTATAATCTTTTATTGTGTGCCAAATAAACAATATTATATTCTATTCATTGTTACAGCCGCCGGAACACAAGATCCCGCACGTGCCCGCCGTCCAAATGCCTCAAAACAACTCGATGACGAAGCCGACTCAGAAGCCGGAGCATTTGAGGACGGTCAAGCGACAGCCCATGCAGAGCCCGAGATTCTCCATGCGACCATTGAGCAGCAACTTCACCCTGAAGAACCCCGTCTACAAAGTGTACGATAACGGAGACTGTGGGTTAGACCCCCGCCTGCCAAGTATCGACGAACATTCCAACACGGACTTGAACGATAAGAAGATCGTGAGGAAGGGCACGCGGACTGCCTGCGTGAGGAAGGTCAATTTGGAGGAGGAAAGACCGCGGCTTAACAGCTGCCCTACGAGGAATGGGGAAGCGAAGCGAACAGAATTCTACAGGAGAGGAGGCGACGGTTTGCCCAGGTAAGACGAAGTTTCGGGCCGTCAATTTTTTCTATTGTACGTGGATCCCGTTTTAACCCCTTATGCCTTGATCACATGCCCCGAGCAAACGGGCGAGACAGTGCTCTCGGCCAAGTACTCAGTGTGTATGAACATTACGCCGAGTGCTCGGCCGAGCGCTCGAGTATGTGACTCGCTCACCCAACTGTCTCGACCGAGTAAACATTTTACTGTCTCGCCCGTTTACTCGGTACGTGTGATCAAGGCTTTAGGGGTTGAATTTTGCAAAATCTCGTCTTAGTGAGCACCTACGTTCTAAAAGGAACACCCATGCAAAATTTAAGACTCCTAGCACTTGTAGTTTCAGAGATTTCGAGATGAGTGAGTGAGTCAGTGACCTTTCGCTTTTATAAATATAGATTTGACAGCGGCGGCGCGGAGCGGAGCGGTGAGGAGCGAAGAGAAGTGGAAATTAAGAAATCTGATTTTTCAAAACACTTCTCCGCTCCTCTCTGCTCTGCCTTGGTGGAAACCGGACCTAACGATGTAACATTATTTATTTAATTTCGTGTAACGAGCATAGGAAGTTATATACTACGTTCTATGCCCAGTGGCGTAAATATACCATCCGCAGCCCGTGGCAAATTCTGTGCATTGGGCCCTTGGCGTATAGATAACGCCCCCTTGTGGGCGCTGCAGGCTTAAAGGGGGGCGGTAAGAGACCCAGGAAAAAAATCGGGACGTTGTGTAGAGGCTTGGGAGACGTCATTTACTAGGAGGTCTCTTAAACACCGACTGAGCACTCGACTTTCGACTACAAATGTGGGCGCTAAAAAGAATTTATTTACTCAAAGTGGGCAGTTGACAAAATAAGTTTGGGAACCGCTGGCTTAGGATCTTAGGCAGGAGCCCCAAGGGATTTTGCCAGCCCTGCCACCCTATAGTTACGCCACTGACTGCCCACAGCTGGCGAGCGAGCGGCATGCAGGCCCTTAACGCGCCCCCTGCCAGGATCCTCCTGCAGAGCAACGCGACGACGATCAAGCGAGCCTCTTTAGGGTAAGCCCTTTGTTATTAAAAACTGCTGCTGTCTTTCCCGAATACTATAATCTGGGCCTTTTCAAGGTGATTACAGAGCAGATATGTATGTACCATTCTAAACTGCATTTCACTTAACATCAGATGAGATTTCAGTCAAATACCTGCCTTGTTCTGCATAAAAAAAACTCGCGTTTAGTTATTAAAATACTTGCTACTGACCAAAAAAACCATTCGCACGGTGGTCGAAAACAGTCTTTAACTAGTCTAGTCCACTACTCGCCTGTCAAAAAAGATCTTAGTAAAGAAAGATTGATTGGGGGAATGAAACCCACGAACTTTCTATCTCTATTGCCAATGACTTTTTGCACACACAACAAAATAAAAGGACTCCAACTAAATTAATTGGGTAAAACGGTTTATAATAAATATTTGTTGGAAACATTTTGTAGGCCGGGACCGCAGAATATCGGGCGACATCTCTTTGCTTTGCGATGCGGCCACGCTCCAAGGCAAGAATATAATGTTTCCCCTCATGTGAAACCCTTTTCCGTTTGCTGTTAAATCCAAATAATGTTAACACCAAACTGTCTATAATATTAAGTGACTAATTGCTTTCCAATTGATATTTTGTGTTCCCCTCCTTACCGGCGCAATGACCCAGTCCTAGTTGAGCGACACGGGACGCGACGCTACGCGACGTAATGCGACCAGTACTTCACGCGACGTGTGTCTTGCGCGGCCATTATTATAATACAGTTAGTATCAAATAGTTCGTGTCACCCAAAGTAGCCAAAAAGTTCTCAACATTGTGCTGTCAACTTTTTGGCCACTTTGGGTGTCACGAAATATTTGACGGTGACTGTACTACCTTGATATTTTCGCGTCGCGTCGCGTGGTTTGTCGTTCACCTAGGACCTGTTTGTTGTCATAGATAGAAAAAGCGTGTGAGTGCATTATCATGGTACGGGGTAACTTAAACCTCTTGTTTATACGTTGTTTTACGTGTTTCAGCAACATCGTGAGTCCACACTCCTCATCCAACAGCCACTGCAAAAGCGAGAGGGCGATGCCAGTAAGCAATTTAATATACTTTATTATGTATTGTGATATAAATAGACGTTTGTAGGATCTGAGAAGACCACACACCGCTGTACCTCAAGGAGTGAGGGTACGATGCTTCATGCCTTCGCATTTTAGCCTTTATTTTCTTGATATTGTTGGTCAATTCCTGCGTTATGTTCGCTTGAAATGTTTCTAGAAAAAAATATTAAATGAGAACCTTGAGATGAGGCAACAAAGTTCAAATTAGCGTGGATTTTAGCGTGTTAATTTATTCCCAGGTGGGCTGGTACTCCACCCGAAACACGGCGAACAAGGACGCGCCTCACCTGCAGAGGCTACGGAGAACGACGCCCCTAAAGTGACCACTCGAAACTACACCTTATTTCGATGTTTTTAAGGACTTTTTTAAATTGTTTACGTGTCACCTTAATTGTAATTTTAAGTGAATAAAAAAGTTTTATTCTTATTGTACAAGGCATCGACTGAATTGTTTTTAGACGTACGATTTTGATTTATATGGAGTAGGTAATGGTGGTGTACGTAACTCCAGCTGGAAAGTAGCTACTAGAGTGATATGAGTAGAACGTATAATTAGTTCCCAACATGGTGTAAAGGTGCGCCGAATTAGAGATTAGTGCGTGCTGTCGTTTTGGTACAAAACGAAAA